CCGAGCAGAACCCCCGGCGGCTGCAGACCTCGCAGGCCTTCCCGCCGCAGGCGATGCAGTCTTGCAGCGGCTCGGTCACGCACGTCGTGGGGGAGGCGGTCTGCGGCAGCGTCGTCAACGTGAGACTCGGAGCTGGCGCTGCGGTGGAGCAGCAAGCCAAAGCTGAAGCCACGGCAGACAAAAACCATGACCCTTTCGGTCGACGAGGCTGAAGTCGCCCCGGGACGTTCAGCTCCTTCTCCGTGACGAGCTTGTTAAGTGTATCAATCAGCGTGCCGGTCTTGATCGTAGCGTTGACAGTAGGTTCGTCGCTCACCTTCGGTCGGCTGGTTGGTTTGGCAGGTCGCTCCCTGCCAGCGTCTTTGATGGCCTGCCAGTCCTCTGGCTGCAACGTGATCGCGGGGTGGCCCGCGGCGCTCGTCATGAGCTTCTGGGTGGAGTTCCCGATGCGGATCTGGCCCTTCCAGAGAGAGATGTCGATCTTGGAAAGCTGCATGAAGCCGCGGCCAATGAGCAGACCAAGCGTGGGGCTGTCCACGACGCTGAACACAATGCGGCCAACCTTGCCGCAGAGCACGAGCGACGCGGTGACCCGCAGCTTGCTCGGGAGGGTGCCTCCGTTGCCGAACCTGTAGACATTGTCCTTTGGTTCCTCGAGGATCAGGTCGGCGAGGCCCATCCTGGAGAGGATATCCTTGTAGTTGTCGCACCACTTACTTCCCGAGACGCATCGGAGGCAGGCGGCATCCACTCCGCCGACGCCTTCGTCCGCGGGCTTCCCGTTGCCAATCGCAACGTTCAAGTTCGGCAGGTGGTGAATCAGCCGCTCTGAGACGCGGGCATCAGGTGGCGGCGACGCAGGCCCCTGCGGTGAAGAGCAATTTCCTCGTCTGCGAACTGGACCTGCTCGGCGATGCGCGCCTGGCGCTGCGGGCCACCTCCTGGCCCCCCCGCCCACCGCCCTTGGACTCGCCGTCCTCGGGCGCGAACTTGCGAGCAACAGGCGCGGGGCGCTCCTCATCTCCTGTCCAGCGCCCGGTCTTGAGCAGTGCGACGTCATCTCGCGCTGGTCGACCCGGTTCTGGAGCTTGGCTGGGCAGCGAGACGGCGCGGACTTGTTCGACTTGCCGCGGCCCCAGGGCCTTCCGGGCTGACCTGATGGTGGCCATGGCCTCGGGAATGGCGGCAAGCTCCGCCGCGGCGCCCTCGACCTCGGCAGAGTCATCGCCGGCGAACAGCTCGGAGACGTCCACGTTGGAGGATTCGAGCTCGGCGCTGAAAGCCTCGAGCTCCTGGCGAACGATGTCCTGCGCGTCGGCCTCGCCCTCGTCGCCCCCCTCTAGCTCTTCGTCGTCCTCGCCGGCGGGCTCGTCGACGACGTCAGTGGATCGCCTTCCGCGACTGGAGGAAGCGTTGCTGCGCCAGCCACCGTGGGGGCGTGACTGGTCGCTCCGCGACCTCGAGGGCGGCGGGGCGTGGCGCTCGGAGTTGTGGATGTCCGGAAACACCCGCATCAGCAGTCCACGGATGCGCTGGTAGCCGCAGCGTTCGTTGGGCAGGTTGCCCACGACGCGCTCGCGGTGCTTGGCCGCAGGCCCGGCCTTTCGCAGCAGGAACCATCCCGCTACGTCGTCCAGCGTGTTGTGGTCCACCTCGTTCTCACGTAGCTGCTGTAGACCCGTCTCGAAGCGGATGGGCCAGTCCGTCATTCGTTCACCTCGACGTCGGTGATGCTGTGTAGATTCCAAAAACTTCTCGAGGGTCTCGCCTTTCTGCACGGGCTTCTGCTGACCCAGGTTTGCCTCCTAATGCTGTAAAACATTCTCGATGCCGACCTGATTCCTTTGGCGCTTCTTCTCGTCGGCGTCCTCGATGTGTGCTGCAGCTGCCGGGTGCAGCTGGTCCTCCGTCATATTCAACGCTGCTGTTCTAGCTGCCCCGCAAAGCCTAAGCACAAGCTTCGATGCGAGACTCTGTGTGACTGAGAGGTTCTCGCTGAGCTTCCATAGCTTCACCTCATGCTTGTAGTCTCTGCACTTTGAAGGATCTCCGTTCCATGTCGGTATGACTTACTGTCCGACATTATGCGAAAAGGGAATCGGAATAATGGAAATCGAACTTGGCGGCGTCGCTGATGTTCTGGGAGTAAAAGAAGTCGAACTCGGCGGCGTCGCTGATGTTCTGAAAGTAAGGGAAATCGAACTTGGCGGCTTCGCTGAAGCTCTGGGGGTATATGAAATTTGACTCGGCGGAGGTGCTAAAGTTCTGGGGGTATGTGAAATTGAACTCGGCGGCTTCGCTGAAGTTTTGGGAGCATGTGAAATTGAGCTCGGCGGCTTCGCTGAACTTCTGAGAGTATGTGCAGGCGTATGTGCTGGCGTCGCTGACGCTTGCGTAGGAGTTGGCGTCGGAAGCGTAGTAGACGTGAGTGCTGCTAGCGTCGCTGACGCTGGCGTGGGAGTTGGCAAGGTAGGCGTAGTAGGCGTTGTTGTCGGTACTACCGTCGCGGACGCTGGCGCGTGTGCTGCGCAGCAGCTGGGTGATGCAGATCATCCGGAAGATGCTGGTCTTCGATTCCAAAATGGATGACAACGTCGCGGACATCGTCGTTGTGGGCGGCCCCGCGGGCCTAGGATAGCGAGCCAAGCTCCAAGCTACCACTGTGATATGGATGGCGCGCGCGGCGCGGCAATCTTTGTCGTATGGGAGCGCAGCTCGATCAAACTGCGTAGCTCTAACGCTAAGGGCCCTGAAATGTTTTGAGGCGAATACGGCAGCGGGAAGAAAGATGGGAGTCAACAGCGGGAGAGCGGAGAACGGGGGAGAAGAGCAGCGAGCCTTCTGGAATCACACCCACTGGTGCCGTTTGCATGCGTCCCACCACCCTATTTCGGCACTACCCTCGCACACTTCGTGGCACTATAGGGAGATCCACCGAAGGCCACTCGTGGCTACATTGGGAACTCCACCGAAGGCCTCAGTGGCGCCGCCCGCATGTGCCCCCACCACACATGTCGACGCGCTACTCACACGTTCCGTGGCCCCGTGGGGAACTCCACCTCTTCGGTATAACACCCACACGATTCGTGGCCCCCATCGGGGAGCCCGAGTGCCACCGCCCGCATCCGTCCCCGACACCCATTTCGGCACACACACCTCGCAAGTTTCATAGCCTTACAGGGAGCTCCACCGAAGTCCCCAGTGGCGCCGTTTGCATGCGTCCCCGCCGCCCATTTCGGCACACCCCTCGCACGGTTTGTGTCCCTACAGGGAGTTTCACCGAAGGCCCTAGTGCAAAGGTTTGCATGCGGCCCCCCGCCCACCGTATGTTCGTTCGGGCACGCCGCTTACACGGCTCGTGGCCCCACAGGGGGTTCCCCTTTCTTCGTCTCACTTGCCTCGCGGTGCTCACACCTGCATATGATTGGGTTCTTCGCCAGGATAACTTCATGAATAACGTCGACACCCAGATATCTCGAACCTATTCCCCAAAACTGGTTTTCAATCCTATGAATCATTGTTTGGCGGTCCAGAGGCCTGGTAAGGGATCACAGAGGCCCAAAACCTGATCGGACAAGAACGGGAAGCGCCGATGTTGTCCGTGAAGGCTCGTAGGTAGAAAAGAAACGACGATGCCGACGACAGGGCGGCGGATGACGAGGATGACAGCGTGGATGACGGGGAGGGCAGCGAGGGGAGCAGGATGACAACTAGCAGGAAACCATGCACGATGACGAGGAGACAGAGATGGAGGAGGACGAATACAACGAGGAACGAAGCGGAGGTGAAGGAGGAGAAGGACGACGACGACGACGGAGGACGGAAATGAGCCTGAGGAGAAGGACGTCGAAGAAGGGGGTCCTTTTGAGGCTGCCCTGGGGGCTGTAGGGCCGTCTGGGGCTATCTTGGGGGCATCCTGGGGGTCTCTTGGGAGCCTGTTGGGGTCCTCTTGGGGGCTACTGGGGTGTTCTTGGGCTGCCTGGCCGTGTCTGAGGGTTCTGCGGGGGCTCTCGCAGCCCGTCTTGTCGCCATCTTGGGCTGTCCTGGGCTGTGTGGGGGCCTCCTGGGGCCGAGGAGGAGGAGGAGGAGGAGGAGGAGGAGGAGGAGTAGGAGGAGGAGGAGGAGGAGGCTGCCTGGCAGGGTTTCTGTCGTCTTCTGCAAAACTCCTTCGTCATCCTGGTCACGCCCGCCTGACTGCATCGCCCCCAGTCCCCGGGGGTCCCTGGGCAGCCATGGCGCCTCCATGGGGCTCCCCAAGGCTTCCATGACGGCCCAGGAGGCCCCCAAGACGGTCCAACCCGTGTCGCCGAACGATCGCCCGAAGACTCCCAAGATGGCCTCCAAGACGGCCCACGATTCCCCCAAGGCCATCCCCAAAAAGACCTAGAGGCCTCCAAGAGACCCCCAAGACAGCCAAGGTGCGCCCCAAGACGGCCCAAGATGTCCCCGAAAGGAGCCCAAGAAAAGGGACGCGAACCAAAAATCCGAGCCTTCCGCCCCAACAGGCCCCCAGGAGGCCCAAGGAGGCCCGAAGAGGGCCCAAATATGCCCCCAAAAGGCCACAAGAGGCCCTCAAGAGGCCCAAAAGAAACCCTAAACCCCGAAAGGCCTGCGACGAGATCCCAACGAACATCCAGTGCAGGCTTCGTGCCCACAACCCAGGCACAGTGGTGGGACTCGCCGTAGGCAGCCATATAACGAAAAACCTTCCGTCGTGATTTCTTCATGACTCGAGAGGGACTGGGCACTCTGACCCCATCTGGGAGGCTTATATGGGCTACACACAGGAGTGACCCTAGGCAAGAGTGAGCGCGGACTACAGGGGCGCAGTGTGGACAAACCTAGGCTCGCAAGCAGCTGCCATCGCATCACGCTGAGCGATCGGGGGGGCCCAGCGAACCCGCACCAACGGTCACTCCGGCGAAGGGTCAGACTGACGTGTAGTCGATTCTTGTGACGGAGGTTCCCCAGTGGCGCCCCGAGGAGAAGCCGAGCCCGGCCTCGGGTCCGCCCCAGCCACGCCCCCGCCGTGCACCGGCGGCGCCGCGGCCGCAAGGCAGCCGCCCAGGGACCGCGGCGGACCGCACGGCGCCGCGGCCGTGGGCAGCCCTGGGCCGCCCGGCAGGCGGCCGCGCCAGAGCCTCCACACCTTAGGCGCCCATCCCCCCCCGCAGTCGGGCGTAGGAGAGAAGAACATCCCTCGAGAGCATGAGACCCTCCTCTGGCCAAAACACACAGAGCATCCGAGGGTCCGAGGGTGCCCTCCCCAGGAGGCACAGAGACATTCGGCAAGCACGGAGAGCATGAGGGTACCCTCCCCGAGCAGACAGACCTCGATCTTACACCTCGGTCCGACTGTACCCTGAGACCGGGGAATTGCACTTCTGCATTCTATTCTGTAGCACCAGGCGATTGCGCCCAGTTTCGGGCCCCGGGGCCCTCGAAGATCGATCCTGTCCGGCTCGATGTAGCATATTTGGGCAACGTCGGATCTAATCAATACTGTTTTTGTTCCCCGTTTTCGGCAAAGACGACTCGGGACAAGAAAAACTCGGGGAACGGGTCGGAGGACCCCGTGTTGAGGTTATCCTGGCGATGGACCCAGCCAAATGCAGTTGTGTGTTCCGCGGTTGTGAATATCGTTTTCGATGGAGCTCCGTATGGGGCCACGAAACGTGTCAGTGTGAGGGGTGTAAGATATGAACCGCGGAGGACGCATGCGAACACTGCAACTGGGGCCTTCGGAAGAGCTCCCTATGGGGGCACGAAGCGTGTGAGGGCTGTGGCGGTGTGCCGGAATGGTTGCAGGGGGCGCATGCGAGAGACGCCACTAAGGCCCTGGGTGGAGCTCCCAATGGGGCCACGAAATGTGTGAGGGGTGTGCCGAAATGAGTGGCGGATGGTGGCGGGGACGCGTGCGGAGGGTAGCATTGGAGCCTTGGGTGGAGCTCCCCGAGGTGCCACGAATAACGTGAGAGATGTGCCGAGAGGTGGAGGTCCCGATGGGGCCACGGAACGTGTGAAAGGTGTGCCGAAATTGGTGGCGGGGACGCATGCGAACGGCACCACTTGGGGCCTCAAGCGGAGCTCCTTATGGTGTTACGAAACGTGTCAGAGGTGTGCAGAGAAGTGTGGCGGGGACGCATGCGAACGGCACCCCTGGGGCCTTCGGTGGAGCTCCCTATGGGGGACACGATACGTGTGAGGGGTGTGCCAAAATGACTGGCGGCGACGCGTGCGAGCGGCACGAACCGTTGGGGACTTCGGTGGAACTCCCTATATGGTGCCACGCGAAACGTAAGATGGGGTGTGTTGTTATTCGTGGCGGGGGCGCATGCGAGCGGCACCGCTGGGGCCTGAGGTGGAGCTCCCATGTGGGGGGCCACGAAGCGTGTGAGGGGTGTGCCGAAGTGACCATGCGGGGGGGCTGAGGGCCGAAGGGGGACGAGGAGGAGGAGGAGGAGGAGGAGGAGGAGGAGGAGGAGGAGGAGCAAGGAGACGCGGGGTGCTGTCCCTCCAAAGCGGTGGGCCAGTACCACAGAACGGGCGGGAAACATCTGAACATTCGACCTCTGGGACCCCCCTGCCATCTTCGATTTCTGCCTCGCGGGGCCCCTTCTCGGGACAGAGGCCATGAGTGGCTCCGGGGCGAGACACTTGCCCCCAGGGAGGAGGGCGGGGATTCTGGGGCCGCGGATCGAGAGAATCGGATTGGAGGATGTCTGGGCGCCTCGCATCGTGCACAGGTCGCGGCGGCAAATCCTCAGCAGTCTTCGGCCTCCAGGGGTCCTCCTCGCCGGGCCCCGGGGCCGTCAAAGCAGACGGCTCGGGGCGAGAAGGCCATCCCCAGCTGTCGAAGCGACGTCGGATGTCTGGGCCCGGCTCCAGGAACATCTGGCCCTGAGATCCGGATGTCGCAACTGTTTCACGCCGGGTGGGCTTCGCACGCCTCTGGGGCTCCCGACGGAACCTCACGGATCGATCCCGCTCGGGGGGGCCCAGGGCGCTGGTCATGATTTCCCACGAAGGTCTACGGCTGCTGTTCGGCTGCGAGCGAGGGGGGGAAGAGAGAAGGCGAAGGCTTTCTTAGAAGGCGGCGGGGCTTCTCAGAAGCCCTGCTGCCACCTGACAGGTTTTCTGTGTCTGAGGGGAAAGCTTCGAAAACTTGTCAGAAGGCCAGGGAACTTCCGAGCCCTCTGAGAAGGCCCGCCCCCTCTCAGTCCTGGACCCTGGGGCCTTCCCCAGGACGAGTTCTTCATCCTGAGTTGTTTTCTGACAGTCCCAGGGCCCTTGGAGGGCCCCGAAAGCCCGAAAACGGCGGAAAACCTCAGGACCCGTTTCGGGTTTGCCGCCGAGTTGTTCCTTGCGCAGCCGAACGCTGGAATTTCAGGGCAGAGCGGACTTCAGCAGCTCGCGCGTAGCGTCCCAACTGGCGGTGCCGCCGTCGCTGCGGCGCTGCCGTCGCTCCCTCGTCTGTCCCGCTCTGTGTCGCTCTTCTCTTACGGGGCGTCGACATTCCAACCCATACCCGAGGAATAATATATATAGAGAGAGAGATAGAAAAGAGAGAGAAAGAGAGAGAGGTAGAGAGAGAGAGAGAGCGAAAGAAAAGAGAGAGAGAGAGAGAGAGAAACACAAAAAAAAGAGAACGAGGTGTCAGGATCCTGCCCACCCTTGGTCAAGGCCTGGTCGAGACCTCCTCGACTTGGGCGGGTGGTAATGGGAGGTGACTTAAATAGGGGATATCGAAGAAGGGCCCTTTTGGGGCCCGTTTCTTCAGTCCCAAGTTAGGTCACCCCTCTTTGCCACCCACCCGATCGACGGACTGCGAACATGTTCTGCGGCCTCCTCCAACTCCTCCTCCCGAAACTGCCGATGGCCCGATTTTCCGCGCAGTGGGGACTCGGAGCTCTCCCGACACGGCTGCCTCTTATGGGCACTTCGCCCCCATGGGGGTACGCATTTACAGAAAGAGTAGCCGCCCCTCTGGATTTCAATCAGGGAGACGGATGACCACACTCGCCTCCTCATTCCTCGCCCCACCTCCTCGGCCTCATGACCTGCACCAAGGTCCGCAGTCTGGCCATGGTTTCGAGGCGAACGCGGGCGTGAGCACGAACCCACCACCCACAGAAGGCCCGTGAATAACAAACAGATCCCGCCGAAGGACCCAGCCGTATGTAATTGTGAGTACCGCGGTTGGGAACATCATTTTCGGTGGAGCTCCATGTGGAGCGACGAACCCTGTGAAGGGTGTGTCGACTTTGGCACGGAGGACGCATGCTTACGCTGCCACTGGGGCCGTCGCGGTGGAGATGCCTATGGGGCTACGACACGCGTGAGGAGTGTGCTGAAATGGATACCGGAGACGGATGCGACCGGTACCACTGGGGCCTTCGGTGGAGCTCCCTGTGGTGCCACACGAAATCAGGGGTGTGCCGAAACAGAGACACGCAAAGGGCACAGGCAGGGATGGGAGGACGGAGGGGGAGGAGGAGGGAGGGAGTGAGGAACGCGGGGCGCTGTCGCTTCAAAACGAGGACCGAACACCACAGGATGGTTGGAAAACACCGCCCGCCTCCGCATCCTCCTCCTCCCTCCCTTCCTTCCCGTCCTCCCTCCTCCTCCCTCCTCCCCCTCTCCTCACTCTTCTCCTCAAACCTCCGCCGCCGTGATTCGGGCACGAGGTGAGCTCCCGGAGCTCCCGACAAAACGAGGGGCCCAGGTTCTCGTCTTGGGCCGGTCTTGTTGCCGGCCCCGTGGCCCGACGGCGTGTGCCCCCAGAAGCGATGACCGAGGAGCCCCGGAGCCATGGGCAGCAGAGAAGCGAGCCCGCGCGAGAGGACTGCCTCACGAGGCGTGCTGCCTCATCGCACAACGGGCCGCCCTCCGCCCCCACACGAAGAGGCCACTCTCCTCACGTGAGGGGAGCACGGTTTCCCCCGGAGCCGTGGGCGACGCGAGGAGGGGAAGGAGGAGGAGGACGAGGAGGAGGGGGAGGGGGAGGAGGAGGCGGAGGAGGAGGAGGAGGAGGAGGAGGAGGAGGAGGAGGAGGAGAAGGAGGAAGGGAGGAGGAGGAGGAGGAGGGAGGAGCAGGAGGAGGAGGAGGAGGAGGAGGAGGAGGAGGAGGAGGAGGAGGAGGAGGACGACGGGTCGCCTAAGCCTTTCGGAGAAACCCTCCAACCGACCCTGGAGAAAGGTCCATTCTGGGCCAAGAGCGGACTATGCGCCTTCCAAGCCGGGAGGGCGTCGACACCGATCCCCTTCGCCCAGGATCGGCCTGGGCACAGGTGCCGATGCCGCTGTTATCCCTGGGCCTTTCCCTGGGTGCGCTCTAACCAGAATCTCGAGGAACCTCCTCCTCCTCCGCCTTCTCCTCCTCCTCAGCCGTCACGTCGTCTGCACGGCCAAGGAGCTCGGTGTATAGACGCCCCAGTTGCCCAACCTGCGGGACGCTGGAGCGTCTGTACACCGAATCCCTTCGCCGAATTCATTGGCTCCTCAGCCGACCGTGCGATGTGGTGTATACATCGAGACCCTTCTGGTGGCGACTCAGGCTTTCCTAGACGATAAAGGCCTCCTAGATGAGGTCCGAACAGATGGGCTTGGAGGGTCGCGCAGCATCGCCGATACGTCGGCGATGCATCGGCGCCGCCGGCGCAGAGACGATCGGGCTCCGCATTGAGCCGCATCGGCGATGCATCGGCGATGCGGAGCGGTCCTCTGACCCCATCTACTTGGGCCCCATCAAGGAGGCCTAGAGACGAGCAGCGGTACCGCTGTTCGATTACACAAGAACACCTTGGGTAACAGTCGGGTGACTTTGGGTGCGCAGCTTTTGGAGGGGCCGCTAGGGGACCAAACACAAGCGCGCAAGACGCTACTACCGCATCGCGCTCGGCGATCGGTGGACCCTTGTAGGCCCGCGCCAAAGGTCACTTCTGCAAAGGGTCACCATTTCTTGGACGCACGAATTATCTGGGATAGCCGAGGTCCAGGGTAACACCGGTTTGGGCCTCCGAGGAGCGACTCTGTAGTTACCCCTGACCGACCCCAGCCCTGATGGCTCGGGAGGGTTGGACGGCCGAATTATCCGGGAGAGCTGCGGTCCAGGGTAACTCCGCTTTGGGCCCCCGCGGCGCGAATCCGCAGCTGCCCCTGACCGCCCCCGGCCCCGATGACTCGGGGCTCCGACGCACGCGTGCAGTCGAGCTGCCGTTCACTCCCCCCTGCGGCCCCGCGCAGAGGTGCCCAGTCGGCCCCGCCCCGGCGCCGAGCTCCGCGCCGCAGGGTGCAGCCAGTCCGCCGGAGGCTCCGCGCCGCCGGGCCGTAGCCTCTCGAGCCCCGCGGCGCGCGCGGAGCTCTCCGGCCGGGCAGTGCTCACGGCAACGTCTTGTCGTGACGCACGACAGCGACGACGCCGGCGTCCTCGACGACACCGACGCCGACGACGCCGATAACGCCGACGACGACGACGCCGCCGCCGACAACGACGACGACGACGTTGACGACGACGACGTTGACGAAGACGACGACGACGCCGACGCCGACGACGACGACGCCGACGACGGCAGCGACGACGACGAGGGCAACGCTGACGAAGCCAATGATACAGTGAGGCCGTTGTTTGCAACAGGGACTTCCGAGCCGATGTCAAGCGATCACTTTCCTGGATGCGAGGACGCAGTTGTACCTTCGGGCGCCGACAATGGTGCTTGAGACTTAGCCCAGTCGCGCCCGACCCTGGGCCGAGCGTTGGCTCGATCGGACTGCCTGCTTGCACGTCGCAGCGACCCCAGCTCTGGTTTCTGACACCGCGTGGATCGGTCGATCTCGCACGACCGGTGTTTTTTTCATGGCCAGATCGTTCCAGGTTGGCCGGTTCTGGGGCCACTGGCGACGACCGACCTTAAGAGCCCGCGCTGGGGTGGCCGCCGCGTCGTCACGACACGAACCTGCCCTACGCACGAGGTGGGAGACTGAACGAACGAACCACCTCTGCGGACACGCGTCGGGCCCACAAAAGACCGGGTGGATGAGGATGTTGCCTGTGGATGGTGCTGGCTACTAGCTACTTTGTCGCGCGAGCAAGACCCAAACATGTGACGTGATGATTTTTGCAATACGGGGTCCCTGGAAGTTCCGACCCTTTCCCAGGGACCCGTTCTTCATCCTGAATCGTTGTTCGGCGGTCCCGAGGCCCGGCGAGGGCCCCCCGAGGCCGAAATTTACCCAAATTACTCCGACGGTCGGACCCCACATGAGAATCTGTTTAGCTTACCCTTTGCCCTTTCCTCCTCCCCCTGGCGGACACCCTCTCCTCTCGCCCTCTGCACTGCCCTCTCTTCCTCATTCTATTCCTCTTCCTACTTCTCCTCCTCCTGCTCCTCCTCCTCCTCCTCCTCCTCCTCCTCCTCCTCCCCCTCCTCCTCTCGCGCCACCTCCTCGTCGTCGTCGCCCTCCCCCATGCCCCTTCCCTCCTCATCCTGCTTTTTTTCCATGTGCACCTCTCGTTCCCCCTGGCCGTGGCAAGCAACTCGATTTTCCTCGGCGCCGTCGCCGCGTCGGCCAGCACGCGCGCGTTTGCCGACGGCTAGATCGCGAAACCGTCGGGGCAACCCTTCGGGCCAGGCCGTCGGGGCAACCTCGCAGGCCGCAGGGGCGCGGGATCCAGCCGTTGGGACAACCCCGCGGGCCTCTAGGCGCGCGCCGCGGCGCTCAGGCGGGCGGCAGCACGAAGCCCAGCTCTGCCGCGAGCTGCTCCGCCTCAGCCCTCCACCGCTCTCTTGTCGAACTCCTGGAGCGCCTTCCGCAGCGACGCCGGCGGCCCGCGCTCCAGGAACTCTCGCGCGGGCGGCCGCAGGATCAGCAAGTTCCGCACGCGCGTGGCGCGGGGGCACATGACGTAGAGGTGCAGCCACCACATCTCGTCCGACATGCCCGTGAGGCCAGCGTCCTCATCCCTGGCGCAGTCGATGGCAACGCCGTTGCGCAGCGTCTGGCCCTGCGACAGCGTGAAGGTCAGGTAGGACGCATGCGTCAGGGTGAACCCCGAGCGGCGCACAGCGTGCGCCCCCGAGCTTTGCCACGTAAACTCCTGCTCGCTGGGCCTGAACATGAGCAAGCTCCTCGCCCGCGCTTCGGCCTCGCCGTCGTCGGCAACGCCATCGGCGCCCTGCAGCAGCACCTCGGCGACCTCCTTGTAGATCGGGGACTCCTGGAAGCCGCGCACCTGCAGCCAGATTCCCTGCGGTAGGAAGCGGGGGCGGAAGAGCTGGCCCGGCGCGCACTCCTCGTAGTCCCGCTCGTCGTCTGCGTGAAACTCGAAGGACACGACGGTGGCCCGTTGCTCCTGCGCGAGCCCCAACTTCTTCTTCAGCTCCTCCTGCGCGGCCGTGAACCGGACCTCCGCGCCGACGTGTGCCGGTAAGACGCCGTGGATGTTTCCCGTCTTGTGCATGTTCGGGACGTTCAGGAGGCGCCGGCCAGCGTCTGGGTCGCCTTGAATCGTGCCGCACTCGTCTACGGCCTGCAGGAAAACGAGGAGTGCGCCGAGGCGCCGCGCGTCGTGACGAGCGCGCGCGTTGATCCACCTCGCCAGCGTCACCCAGTATATGCCCATGCCGTAGCCGAGCCGGAAATCCTCGTGCTGGTGCCGTGGGTCCAGGACGCCGTGGTTGTCCGAGGCTAACGTTTTTTCTCAGGCAGACTAGACTTCTGGTGGGAAGCGCTTGCCCTCGCGCATGCAGCCCAAGAACGCGATCAGAGGGCCCCCTGGCTCGAAGCGCTTTGTGCCCTTCAGCTCGAAGACGCAAGGGATCTGAGAGAAGACCCTGGTGGCGTGCTGGATCTCCACCGTCGGCGGCTCCGCGTACTTGTACGACCCTTTTCCGTCGTCCAGGCGCTCGTTCGCGTCCGTCAGGAGCCCGATGCTGCCGGTGGGCTTCAGCTGCAGGAAATCGCCGAGGTGCAGCACGATGGGGACGCGTCCGAGGTGGTGGTGCGGCCGCTTGTAGGTGGACTCCTGCACGTCGTGCGTGTCACTGCGTCCGTGGCAGGCGCGAAGGTCCAGCGCGTTGTACAGAGCTGCCGCCACCATGCTGACCTCCTCGATGACCAGAACGCGGACGTGCTCCCACAGCCATTTCAACCTCTTCTGCATACCCCCTGGTCTCATCTTCGCGTTGATGTACTTCTGGACTCGCAGGGCACAGGCGTTGTGCAGCGTTCTAGCCTTCAAAGTCTCCGTGGAGATGTTCTTCGCCTGCGCGTTCGAGAAGGCCACGACCATCATGGCGCCCTTGTCCGTCGACGACGGGGGACACGACTCGGCCGAGGATGGGTTACCACCCCCGGCCCGGACGCAAGGGGCTACCCCTGCGCCCGGCCGCTGTCTCGTCGTCGTCATCGTCAGCTCCTCAGTCGCCCTCTCGGACGCCGCGGCCGTGGGGCGGCGGAGCCTCTCGGACCTCCATCCTGTCGCATGACTACAACAAGTTTGCCGACGACCAGCTCGGACGATGCTACCCGGACTTCTCAATCGCCCTTTCGGGCACGCAGGCCCATGACAACAACAATTTTGCCCGCGACCAGTTCAGACAGACGAGACTCCCGCTTGGTAACTCCCCGGCATTCAGGCCGCAGGAGCGAATTCTAAAATCCGTCCTCAGACCTCCAAGTGACGACAGGAGACGGTCCTCTGACGGGGCTACCCGCACCGCCCACAGACAAAGTTCCCCCTTGATACTTCCCCCGTGTTCAGGCCGCAGAAGCCCAGGAGCCCAAAAAGCTCGCTCGGATGACCCGCTCGGGTTCGAACATGAAATGCGTGCCCCATAGGGAGGGGGCTCCCGCCTGAGACTTCCTCGCAAGTCACTCACAGACGAGGCTCCCGCTCGAGACTTCCTTCGTATTCAAGCCTCAAGAGCCCAAAAGTGACGACAGTTACAGGGTTCCGATGACCCGCTCGGATTAATTACATGATCGGCGGGCCCCATAGGGAGGGGGCTCCCGCGTGAGACGTTTTCGCAATTCACTCAGAAACGAGGCTCCCGCCCGATACTTCCTCCATATTCAGGCCTCAAGAGCCCAAAAGTGACGACAGTTACAAGGTTCCGATGACCCGCTCGGATTAATAACATGACCTGCGGGCCCCATAGGGAGGGGGCTCCCGCGTGAAACCTCCTCGCAATTCACTAACAGACGAGGCTCCCGCCGGATACTTCCTGCATATTCAAGCCTCAAAGGCCCAAAAGTGACGACAGTTACAAGGTTCCGATGACCCGCTCGGATTAATAACATGATCTGCAGGCCCCATAGGGAGGGGGCTCCCGCCTGAGACTTCCTCGCAATTCACTCACAGACCAGGTTCCCGCTCGAGACTTCCTTCATATTCAAGCCTCAAAGGCCCAAAAGTAACGACAGCTACAAGGTTCCGATGACCCGCTCGGATTAATAATCCTTGCAATTCACTCAGAGACCAGGCTCCCGCCTGATACTTCCTCCATATCCAGGCCTCAAGAGCCCAAAAGTGAAGACAGTTACAAGGTTCCGATGACCCGCTCGGATTAATAACATGATCTGCGGGCCCCATAGGGAGGGGGCTCCCGTCTGAGACTTCCTCGCAATTCACTCACACACGAGGTTCCCGCCTGATATTTCCTGCATATTCAAGCCTCAGAGGCCCAAAAGTGACGACAGCTACAGGGTTCCGATGACCCGCTCGGATTAGTAACATGATCTGCGGGCCCCATAGGGAGGGGGCTCCCGTCTGAGACTTCCTCGCAATTCACTCACACACGAGGTTCCCGCCTGATATTTCCTGCATATTCAAGCCTCAGAGGCCCAAAAGTGACGACAGCTACAGGGTTCCGATGACCCGCTCGGATTAGTAACATGATCTGCGGGCCCCATAGGGAGGGGGCTCCCGCATGAGACTTCCTCGCAATTCACTCAGAGGCTCCCGCCTGATGACGAAATGATGCGTGAGCGAATGAAGATGATGAGTGTGTGATAAATGAGTGATGATGATGATGCTGATGATGATGATGATGATGATGATGATGCTGATGATGATGATGATAATGATGATGATGATGAAGATGAGGATAAGGATGATGATGATGATGATGATGATGATGAGGATGATGAGGATGATGATGATGATGATGATGATGATGATGGCCACTGAGTGGGCGATCGAGAGATTATGATGGAGATGGTGACGGTGATGTTGAGAGTGATGGCGGTCCACCCGTCGGAGGACCACTGCCTCCGAAGCCTACTGAGGATGAGTGAGTAATTGAGTGAGTGAGTGGGTGATCGAGTGGTGATGATGGTGACGATGATGATGAGGATGATGATGACTAGTGATGACGGTGGTGGCGGTTGATGATGTTGATGATGGTAATGATGATGGGTGTGTGCGTGTGATGACGATGATGGTGGTTGAAAGTGAAGATGATGGCGATGATGGTGAGTGAGAGAGAGAGAGAGGACAGGGGGTGTGTGAGATCCTGCGCGGCGTGTGCAGAGAAAACAAGATACCCACTGTGGATGTGGGGAAAAAACGTCCTGATGTTTTTAAACGACGCGATCATGTCTGGGAATGGATCCTCACACGGAGGAGGCGGACGGTTCGAGGATCGAACTTCGAGAACGGAAATTGCTGTTCGGCTTCGGCCTCGGCGGGGCTCTGGGCCTCCCGGTCACCGTGGCTGGATTCCGCCTCGAAGCGCTGGCCAGAGCGCCCTCCAGGAACAGGTCCGCAGGGGGGAAATCCTCGTGGGCGGGAGGCCCCCCTGGCCCAGAGGCTTGAGCATCAGTGCCGCCTCGGGGGATGCGGCGCCGCCTGCCTCTGGAAATCATTGCTTGAGGCATGGGACAGTTAACAAATGATGACTCAACATGGAAACCTGGACATGAAGACGCCCTAGGACACACAAACAAATATATACAAATAACCGGATTCTCAATACTTTCCCATACGTTCTGGGTTTATGTCTTCCTCCCCACTTCCCATATTTTTGAAACATGTTCTGGGCAATCGACGATCAATTGTGTCTGTGTTTTTTTCTCTTCCTGAGGACAAAGGGAAAGAGTCAAGCGTTCCCGGGTCGTGAGACCCTACGAAGAATAGAGGCTCGTCGGAGGTCTGCGCGGGGGTGGCAGCGGCAAGGGCGAGCCCAAACCTCCGACTGACCCAAATTATCCGGGCGAGGGACCCAACCATATGCGGAGGTGAGTACCGCGTTATGGGTACCACTTTCGGTTGAGTTCCACATGGGGCCACGACAAGCGTGAGAGGTGTCCTGTACTGCGTGGGAGAAACGCATGCCGCCGCGGACAGTTGGGTCTGGGTATATGCTGTACTGGTCAGGTACTGGGTGTATCTCGACGTGTTGAGGCTGTTCATGAGATGCTGGTGATGTGATGTGCACCTCCTCCTCCTCATCATCATCATCATCCTCATCATCACCAGCTTCATCATCATCAGCAGCATCATCAGCATCCTCATCCTCATCCTCATCCTCCTCCTCATCACCACCACCAACACCACCATTATCATCATCATCATCATCATCACCATCACCATCACCATCACCATCACCATCACCATCATCATCATCATCATCATCATCATCATCATCATCACCACCACCATCACCATCACCATCACCATCACCATCACCATCATCATCATCGTCATCATCATCATCATCAGCAGCATCATCATCCTTCCCATCTCTCACATCCTCCACTTCCTGCTCCTCCGACGTCCTCTCACGTCCCGCGTCCTCCTCCTGACACGTCGTCTTGTTCCTCCTCCTCCTCCTCCGAGAAAAGGTTAAAGGCGACACCACACGCCCCCCCTCTCGTTCGAGACATCCCCGGTCCCCTGCTCAGGGAGGCATCGCGGACCCCCTCGCTGGAGGTGGGCTTCCTGGTGGTGGTGGTGTCGCCCGTCCTGTCTTCGGCTACACGCAGGAGTGACCCTGGGTAAGAGTGACCTTTGGTGCGCGGCTTTCGCGGGGCCGCGGGGGGACCCAACCACAGCGTTCGGCGATCGGGGGACCCCAATGGGCCCGCACCAAAGGTCACTCTGGCGAAGGGTTACTCTTACGTGTAGCCGATTCCTCCGATCTTCCTCCCACGTCCACCGGTCCACAGCCTCACTCTCCCTTCTGCCTGCGGGCGGGGTGCCGGTTCGGCCCCAGTCCCCACATGCCTGTCTCGGAGCGACCCAGAGCTCAGCCCCGGCACCAGGTCCTGGTACGGCGCCACCTCCAGGGGCCAGCCCTGACCGCCCCCCGACCTCCGACGGTATAATTCTTTCAACGCTGACTTCCTTCCTCGACTCCGCCTCTGGGGCCCATTCTCCCTGGGACCACGCAGCCACCAAAACTACCACCCGGGGAAGGGCTTGGATGCTCTGGGGCCGCGGCTTGAAAAAAAAACACGCCGGAGGACGTCTAAGCCCGAGGGCCCCCGCAGACGGTGAACGAGTGAGCCAGTCCTCGCATTAGGTCGGGCATGTCCCATGACAGCCGGATTTTGGACGGCAAATGAAAAATACTCCCAAATGGCCAAAAATAGTCGAAAAATCGTACCCAGACTATTCTTTCACTATTTTTGGACACTCCTCGTGCAGAAGGACATGCCCGACTTAATCCTCGCAAGGCAGAGAAGAGCATGGGAGACGATCGAAGCGCTGAGGGCTGGAAAGCCTGTCGATCCCACATCTTGGATGCAGTCGGGGCCGATTGGAGGGGACGCGCGAAAGGACACAAGACCCTTCTGAGGGCCACGTTGCCACAGGAATGTAGAAGGCATGGGTCGTGGAGCACGGGACACCAGGGGTACCCTGGCTTCGGCAGGGTCGACCTCCTCATCAGCCTTCGCTTTCGTGGATTCGCGCAATAGTTCTGCGCGGCGGCACCGCCGTTACGACAGACCTGCCGTTACGACAAATCGCTGCTACTGCCAGGAAAAAGTGTCTGGATAGAGTGTGGGTACCCTTTTGATTTGGCATGGTCCGACCTCCTCATCCAGCCTCGACTGTGTGGCCTCGGCGCCGCGGGCCGTGCCCCAGGGCCACGGGGCCCCGCAGCGCGGGCGCGGAGGGTGCTCGGCTCTGGGCGCTCGCGCCGGCGTCCCAGATGTCCCAAGGTAGGTTTCTCGTTTCGATCCAAGATAGGAGGCGTTAGGGGTAGGTAGGTGGGATTGTCATTGTTGTCATAGTGCAGTTGAAACGTAGGGCGTGCAGAGCAAATTCACACAACTCGTCGTAACAATTGTGTGGTGCTGTCTGCCCGTAGCTTTTGGCTCTCAGTTTGGAGGGGGCTCCACAACCAGTCCACCATCCCAAGAGGTGGGGGAGCCAGTGCAAGAGCGACTAGCACATTGCAGATAGACCGCGAGGCCAAAAAAAGAGGTAGGTTTCTCGGTTCAATCCAAGCTCCTGTTCCTGAATCTCGGCGTCCCCTGAGATCCGGGCCTGGCATTTCCTTAGCACCCAGCGCTGTCGCCCAGTGTCGAGCTCTGGGAGACCCTCACAGGTGGACCCGACTCGACGAATCCTGCAGGAAGATTGGGCCTGGGGCTCCGGTCGTGATTTTTCACGATGCGGCAATCTTGTCGCAACGTCGGATCTCAGGGTCTGGGGATGACCGTCCTCGGGCCCCCAATCGGAGGAGGGGGAGGAGGAGGAGGAGGAGGAAGAGGAGGAGAAGGAGGAGGAGGAGGAGGAGGTGGGTTCGAAAGGAAAAACAAAACGCCAAGGATAGGGTCGGGGCCTCTGGGGCCGCGGATTGGGAGACATCGTGTGCGGGCAGCCTGGGAAGGATGTCGTGGACCCCGGGGGGCCTTTCCCCCGGGATCAACTCCTCATCGTTGGCAGTTTCGCCACGGCCCAAGGGGCCCCAGGACACACAAAGAAATACACACAAATAAAATGATTCCCCACATTTTCCCATATTTTCTGGGTTTTTGTCTTCCCCCCCACTTCCCATATTTTCCTATATTTTCCTAGGAGTCGACGATTAATTGTGTCTGTGTGTTTTTTCCCCTCCTGAACAGCCCTGGGACCCGCGGAGGGCCTCCAGAAGTTCCGGAAACTCGGACCCTCAGGACGCGTTCCCAGACACACGCCGATGTTTCCAATCCGCGGCCTCAAAGTCCCGACCAATTCTTCCCAGGGGGGAGGCGTTTCGTCCTGGATCCGTTCCTGATGGCCACGGAGGCCAGAATGGAGGAACAACTTCCCGATGCTAGAGGCATCACATTGTCGGAGATCTGGGTCTGTCGGCAGCCCAATGGGAAACCGAGCCCTGCCAGCTAGATGTCTGAAACGCCGGCAGGGGCTCAGGATTCGAAGGATGTCGGCAGCGAAGTAAAACTCCAGCGGGGGCGTCCGATACCTCAGCGTCGATTGGACCCGCAGGGGTAGGGATCGCAAGTGTTCGCAGAATTCGCTTCATGATAATAGAGGCCTCCCAGATGGGGTCGGAGTAGATGGCGTCGGAGGAACCGCGCCGCATCGTCAGTGCATCGCCGACGCATCGGCGACGTCGGCGACGTCGGCGTGGGGAAACACGGGCTGCACATCGAGCCTCACCGCCGATGCATCGGCGATGCGGCCCGATTCTCCGACCCCTTCTGCTCCGACCCCATCTGGGAGGCCTAGGTGGAAACTTTCCCCAGGCCCTGCCCGACCTCGGCCAAGGACCGCAGGAAGTCTGGGAGGCGCTCCCGGATCGCGGGGCCGCCGCCGCCGCGCGGGAACACGAGCAGGCGGCGGGGCTGCAGCTTGAGCTGGAAGATCCCTGTGTTCTTGTGCTTCCCTGCGCCCTCCCGCAGCGCCTCGCCGACGAGTGCGACAGGGGCGAGGATGAGGAGCGGGTGGGGGCGGGGGGAGGCCAACTTCTGAGAGTAACAAGAGGTTCGGCGGCCGCGATCCCCGACCTAGAGCTCTTGTGTCTCCGGCGCCCTGACGCAGCGCCATGCCGAGGACGATGAGGAGAGGGGGCGAGGATGAAGAGGAACGGGCCCAAAATCTCTGGCGATATGTTCTTTTCAATACCGGCGTTGTTCTTCGATTTCGCCCTCTGGGGTCAACTGTGGGGCCCTGGCGCCATCAAAATGAAAATCAGGGAAGAAAAACGATCCCCGGGGGAAAAATTGGGATCTCTGGGACCGCAGATTGATAAACCCATATCGGTGGATGCGTGGAGATTCACGAGCGGCGAACGCTTGCATATCCACGTCCTCGCAGTCTGGATTCCAGGGCGCGATCAGGATGCGCGGTCGCATGGATACGCTCCTCGCGGGGCATCCACAAAGAAAGCACTCCGTATACATGGAGTCGCGGATCACGAGCCTGGCCCGCGGTGGATACGGATACGTTTTCCGCCAACGAGGGTTGGCGACCCCAACCCCCGACTTAGTGGGTTTATTTCGACGGGCTAGATGGTTCATAGCCCATCTATATATATATATATATGTATACGATGGTCCGGGCGTCCATCCAAGATAGTGTCCGTCCGAATAGCCTCCTGAGGTATATCCCCCGAGCCCCCTTCGCGACCATTTTTCTGGATGAGGACTGAGGGATTGAGGGCAAGAAATCGCCTGCGAGTGAGGTATGCGTGGGGGCGGTCAAGACATGCTGAGCCAGACCAGGAGTCTGGTGCACCAGAGTGAGACAGATAAGCTACTGCACGGTCCGAAATTAGGCTGGACTGAGCTGGACTAGGCCGGCCTTCAGCCAAGGCTATAGTTACCAGTACCGATGCCTCGTTCAACATCCCAGGAGCTGCAACCGAAAGGAGGAGAGCTGGAAGACAGGTTGCGATAGAACCTTCAAGGTTCCTCATCGAGCACGCTGAGACCGCTAGCTTGGGCCTTGAAGGGCGAGTTCAAGCACCTCTGCGGCCAACTCCCAGACTGTACGGCCGCCCCCCCAATGAATGGCGCTGCCGCGAGAGGAGGACGACGATGAAGATGAAGAAGGCCTGGACCTCCGACGTGGTGATCGTCTAATGCTGACAGTCAACCCTCGATCTCGGTTTCCAGAGACCTGGTCCCTAGGGATCCCCAAACCGTGTGGTGACAGACCGTGCGGTGACCTCCAAATCCCCAAGGACCTCACCGCACGGTCCGTCGCCGCACGGCTTGGTGACCCCGGATGCCCCAGTCGCAAAAGGCATCCTCAGAGACAGACTCCATTCCCACAATCGTGCGACCACTCCGAATCCCCGCCGACTCACCACACGGTGTGGTCACCGCATCGTTCTGGGCCACCCGATCGACTTCGGCCTTCAGAAGCCTCTTCCGCGACCCAAGACCATAAACACACGATCCATGATGACCCCCCCGTCGCGGGGAAGGGGTCGAGAGGTCGACGGCGGCCGACTCCGCAAACCCTGAGCTCAAACGTCGGGGGGGGGGCGCAAATCATGGCCGGCGGCACTTGCGCGGCCCAGATTGGGGGCCAGGGACGTAACGAAATAAGAAGAGGCGCCATGAAATCTGGGGAAATATCATGGCCCAAGCCATGATATCCACCCCCCCCTAGTCATCACCCCCCTCTTCTCCGCCCCCGACATCTGGGAGTCCTGGAGGAGTGATGGCCCGAAGACCGGGCCCTACAGGAATGGAAGGGACGGGAGAGAGAAATAGAGGAAGAAGGAGGACGAAGAGGAGCAGGAGGAGGAGGAGGAGGAGGAGGAGGAGGAGGAGAAAGGGAGGAAGGTGGAGGAGGAGGAGGAGGAGGAGGAGGAGGAGGAGGAGGAGGAGGAGTCATCACCCCCCTCTTTTCCGCCCCCGAAAACACGCTGACGCCTCGCTCCTGCGTCCGCTGCCCTCCGCCCACCTTCCGCCGGCGGGCCCGCCGCAACGCTGCCTCCGCCGGCGTCCGCCGCAGGCGAGGTGCGCCGCAGGCGAGACACTCTCTGGAGTGCCCTGGCGTGCTAACATCTGTACTCCAGATCTCGTAATAAAAGGGAGGGGGCCTGGACCCTCCAAGACAAAGTTATTTCAGACCTCCCCCCGTGGGAGAACCCTCCCAAACACCGTCCCCAGACCCCCCAGGCCCTCCAAGATAGCCTGGGGAAGAGACCCCCCCCCGAAATGAGACCCTCCTCCATTTATTACGAAATCTGGAGTAGTCCTGGCGTCGGAGGGCCAGGGTTGGAGGATGACGAGTAATAAATGACCGGGGGTCGTGTTCACGCGGCGGCGCCCAGGATGACGATTCGAAAAAACCGGCCGCGGGCTGGAAAACTATCTGTTTTAATCGTTCTCCTCCAGTCTGAAAATCGTGCAGAAATAACAGAAAACTATTTGTTAAAACGTTCTCCCCAATTTTTTTATTAATCGTCATCCCGCATTAGCCCTGGCGTCGGAGGGCCGGGGTTGGCCAGCGCGCCTTGTCGAGGGAGTCCTCGCCCAGCAGCAGGAGCACCTCGACGGCGGTGGTGGTCTCTGCGAGCTCCTCCCGCTCCAGGGCCCTCGCGACGCCCTCCCGCTGCGGCCAGTTGTTCGCGCCCTCGACCAGCCGAGCCGAGATCTGGCCCGGTCGCACCTGCTCTGTGGCCTCGGCCTCCAGGATGCGAGCGCGGATGCAATCAATGCGGCCCTGCAACGAGGACGCCTGTGGCTTGTACGGGTTCCCGCTCTGGTTCGGCACCAGCACAACCCGTGAGAGACCGCACGCGCTCAGCGCGCAGAGGACCATGCGGAAGTGGTTCTCGTGCAGGGGGTCGAAGGTGCCGAAATACAGGCCTACCCTGGCGCGCTCCGAACGCCGCCCATCCTCGGAGAAGAAAAACAGCCAGGGCTTCAGACCAGACCGTGCTAGATGGAACAGCACATGCTGCCTGCTTCTTTCAGGACACTCGCTGACCGGCTCGGATGAGGCAGAACTGCTTGACCAGAACTCCAGCTCAGCATCGATTACTTCATCATTCGCTTGGCAAAAGAAGCCCAGCGCCCTGCCCGAACCCGTGCACAACAGCGACGCGGGCACCACCTGCATGAACGTCTCGCCAGCCGGCAGCGCCCTCAGCCGATCCCAGAGCGTCGCGAGCAGCTTCTGCAGACCTGCTGCGCGGGGCTTGCTCTGGTCAGACGCAGCGAACCTGTTGCAGACGAGCCAGCGCTGCCCCCACCAGGCCGGCATGGACCCGGGCCGGACCACGGTGACGCGGTCGAAGCCGGACGCCAGGAGGACCACGAGCCCCGCGAGGAAGCGCGTGTACAGGCTCGGCAGCTGCACCAGGAGGTCGCCTCCCGCGGCGAGCGCCCGCAGACCCACGAGCACGGAGGCGACCACGAGGAGCTTGGCGTCCGCGTCCAGCTCCGCCCACGCCACCTCGCGCCCCGCCTCGCCCTCGGGCGGCGGCGCCTCCACGACCACCAGGTCGACGGGGCCGGGGCCGTCCCGCACGGGGTCTTCCAGGCCCGCCTGCCTCAGGCAGCCCTGCACGAGCTCCTCGGCGGACTGCGCAGGCGTCCGCGAGCCCCAGGCGCACGCCTGCGTCGTGCGCACGCCCATCCTCCGGGAGGGCAGCGAGAGCCGTCCGGCTCGTCGGGGAGGCCGGCTGCCCCCTGCTGCCAACCACCGCCTCGCCCCCCTGCTCCTCCGACCCTGCTCCTCCGCCACCCCCCCCTCTCCAATGGAAGCAGCTCCCCATGCCCGATTGCGCATAGCACGATGGGGCCCTTGTTGGGACTGCAGGTCCGCTATGGCACGCGTCTGCGCATGGAGACAAGATCAGCAGCATGTGCAGGGATGGGTTGGAGGGGGTAGGATGTCGGGTATGGCGCGAGCGCGCCCGGCTTGCCCCACTCTTCCGCCCGTCCCGTCCTGCGCGTGAGCCACGAATGGGCCTGCAGCCCGCGGGCGGCTTCTGGCTCCACGGCCACGACGTGCAGCCCCCGCCTGTACTCGAGGGCTGCGGGATGAGGCCCGGGCTGTGCATGTGCCCGTCCAGCGAGGCGCTCCGGCAGGCATCTCGACATCACGTCCACGAGAGCAACGACCACCGCGGGCGGCAGCTCGTCGTCCTCCAGCGCAGGCATCATGTCCATCGGGTGGCGCTCGGGAGGCCAAGACGGAGCGCGAGATCGCGCCACGATGAGCGCCCTGAGCTTCTGCGGCGACGCGAACGGTGAGCTCCAGAAGGCCCAGGGTTCGAGAGCCAGAGAACTCCGCCACCAGTTGCTCTGTGCGACCTGCACCGCCGCGTCGCCAGGCTTGAGTGACCTCTGGAGGGCACTGGAACTTACACGCGCAAGCTCGCTCTGTTGGACTGACCTCCGGGGAGCAGGATGCTCCTTCTCCACAATTACTCAAAATACTACTCTCCCTCTTCCCCTGATGACGGTTTGAAAGTATCCGACCCCCCCCCGTACTGTTTGTTTACACACAAGCTTCCCCGGAGTTGGGTTTTCGCCTGCATTTTTTCCCAACATGCTGCTCTCGCTGAGGCGCCGGCCTCATTTTCGGGCCCCGCTCGTTCCGAATCGTGCTCCCGCTGCAGCGGTGGCCTCATTCCCGTGCTTCCGCTCGTTTCGACTCGTGCTCCCGCTGCAGCGCTGGCCTCATTTCCGCGCTTCCGCTCGTTTCGACTCGTGCTCCCGCTGCAGCGCTGGCGTCATTTCCCGTGCCATGCCACGGCATGCAATGCAATGCTAGGTTGATGCTACGCTTTGCGGTGCTCTTCTACGCCATATGCCATGTCGTGCTCTACAATGCATCGCGTACCCTTTCGGGATCATTGCCCTGCTCGACATCCGACTGTGCGAGTAGAGAGGGGATCTGCGCCATGGTAAGGGATGGGAGGGAGGGATAGGATGTCAGACATGACGCGAGCGCACCTAGCTTGTCTTCCTCCCCCTCCTCCTCCTCCTCCTCCTCCTCCTCCTCCTCCTCCTCCTCCTCCTCCTCCTCCTCCTCCTCTCACTCGACCAGTCCGCAGGCCTCAGAATTCACCCCGAAGACTGAATGATGGGGGTTCCTCGAGTGGAGGAGGGCGCAGGAGAAGACATGGGATGAGGAGAAGGTGAAACAAGGGTGATGATGCTGATGATGATGCTGCCGATGTTGATGATGACGATGATGATGACGATGATGAGGATGATGATGATAATGATGATAATGATGATGATGATGCTGCTGCTGATGATGATGATGATGATGATGGTTAGATGGGCCCCGCGAGCCACCAACGGGCCCCGACCAAAAACAACCAAGACCAACAAACAACATACCTACCGCACATAACGAAACCATACATACCAAGAGCAACAATGGAATAATGTTGCTGATGATGATGCTGCCAATGACACTGATGATGACGAGGGGGCGTTGATGATGATGATGATGCTGATGATGATGATGATGATGATGATGATGCTGATGCTGATGCTGATGATGATGATGATGCTGATGATGCTGATGATGCTGATGATGATGAGGAGGAGGAGGAGGAGGAGGAGGAGGGAGGAGGAGGAGGAGGTAAGGGGAAGATGCACAAATGAGAGCGATCAGGATCAGAAGGGAGGACGAGGACTGTGGGGGGAGAGGACAAGAGGACGGCAAGGAGGTCGAGGGAGACGTCAGGGAACGGGGAACAGGAGAGGGAGGAGGTGGAGGACGAACTGTTCTGGAGCACTCGGGTCCCAGAAGGGGTCCAAACCGTTCAAAAAACTCGCCCCCCCCCCTGACCTTCCAGGATCGCTAAAAAGTAGCACCGGGGCCATCGAGCTCCAATTCTGGTCGAGGCGCTGGGCGTTTCTGCTGAGTTTGCAGTGTCTGCGAGGGCTACTGCTGCCCTCCTGAGAGGCCAGGGCCTGCTCCCTCCCCCGGGAAGAGGACAGAGCACGGAAAACCAGCGGCATGAGCGCACAAGCCTGCGGAGGCCCGCGCGGCTCTCTTCGAGCGGCGCTGGACACCCGGCGCTGGACCCCCCCCCCCCCGGACGCTGCATGCAGGCGCTGGGCCCCCCCCGGACACCCGGCGCTGGGCGCTTCGATGGGCGCTGGACACCCGGCGCGTGGATCGATCCAGCGGCGTCGCTGGAGGCGCCGCCAGGAGTCCCAAAGGGGGAGCCCAGCGCAGATCCACGAGGTCCGCGCGGGCCTCTGACGGCTCGTGCTCACGGCCAGGACCTCTTGCTGGGCGTGTGTTCCACCACCACCGCCATAAGTTGGAGGGGTGGGTCCTCCTCCTCCTCCTCCTCCTCCTCCTCCTCCTCCTCCTGTTCGTCCTCGTCCTCCTCCTCCTCCTCCTCGCCCTCCTCCTCCTTCCCCCCTCCAACTTATGGTGGTGGTGGTGGTGGTGGAAAACAGGCCCGTCACCTTTGGATCAGCGTGTCGCTGCGGCGGCACCCTGCCACACGCTGGGCCTGGCGGCCCGAGCGCGCGTCGCCCTGCTCCGCGGGCGGGAGGCTGGACGAACACGAGACGCTGACGCTCGGGACTGGGGCGTGGTGGCCGGGCCGCGACGACGCGTGGTGGGCCGGAACCGGCGGCGCGGCAGGCGACGCCATCGCTCCTGCCCGTCGGCTGCTCTTCCTCTGATTCGAGAGGCGAGGTCCAATGTTTTGCTCTTGTTTACGTCAAGTTCGTGTCGTGCCGACTCCGGCGTTGGTCTCTGACACCGCGGGGATCGTTCAACCTTGAACGATCGGCCGTTTCCGAAACGTCCAAACTGTTCCACATCGAACGATTCTGGGTCGCCAGCGGCGTTCGACGTTGAACGCCGCTGGCAGGGTCGCCGCTGGTCGACACGACGCGAACCTATCGTAAAAGTTCTTATCTGACAGAGAACAAGAGAGGAGACGTCCAACGTGGTCCCCCCCGAGGCTCGGCCGCCGGAGCCTGGGGGGCACCCGGGAGCGAGCCAGAAGCCGCGCCGCTGGACCGCCTGCCCCGGAGCCGGGCCCGACCGCCTCGGACCCAGGGACCGGCTCTCTCCGCCCCGAGCCAGGCTCAAGCCCGAGGAGGAGGACGAGGAGTAGGACGAGGAGGACGACGGCGCAGAGGAGGAGGAGGAGGAGAAGGAGGAGGAGGATGAGGAGGAGGAGGACCCCCTCCCCCTCCAACTTATGGTGGTGGTGGAAAACAAGCCCTTACTGAAAACAAACATGCCGTCAGGGGGGTCTGGGTGGGGGTGGCGGGTCTGGCGCCGATGGGTCCGCGGGGAGAGGCACAACAGTGTGCACTTGCAGCAGCTGGCGCCTAGGTGCAGCAGCTTTGATGTGCTGGATGACACGGTTGCACGTGGAGGCAAGTGCACACGTCGTTCATTTCCAATCGTGGTCATGTCTAAGTGTACTCGGTTCTAATTGTTCCTGGCCACCTAGTGGCCAAGAAGAGGCCTAGGATATAACAATTAGACATGAAAGGATCTTGGCCCCCAAAAAATCGAACGACTTTCGAACACTTAGAACTTATCAATGTGAATTCGCCGGCCCAACGGGCCAGAGGCGTGCTAAGATCTCCGGTAACTTGTTAACAATATTTCTAGTTCGCGCGCGCGGAGCGGCCCCTGGGGGCCCCCGGACGAAAAGTACCCCGGCAAGGTCCCGAGAGAAGCCCGGGAGAAGCCACCAGACCACTCCAGGGGAGGGTATTTTTCGACACCCCTCACGAGGATCGTGGCCTCCGAGGGGGGAGCCGCAATCGACTATCCCCAAGAGCCCCCCAAGAGGCCCTGGGGGCCTCCAAAACGCCGCCAAGGAGCCCCAAGAGAGTCCCAAGAGGTCCCCAAGAGGCCCCCAAGAGGCCCTAAAGAGGGCTCCAGGGCCGGCGGCATGAGCGAAGCGATTAAATAATTGCAGAAATTGGCCCCTGGATGCAACAGCTTTTATGTGCCGGATGACGCGGTTGCACGTGGATGCAAGTGCACATCTATTTTCTCACCTGCAAAGCTCGTTGCCCGTGCGATGCCCCGTGCCCGGCCCCCCCCCCGCGATGTGCGCGTATATGCTATTGCGCGCAATGCTGCGCAACGGGCGCACGAGGGCGCCTCCCATCGCCGATCCGTCTTTGCGTCAGACCCTTCCGACAGCCCCAGGGTCAGGGAAGGCTCCCCCCTGGGTTGAGAACGGATCGCGACAAACCAACTACGGTCGGACCTACATTCCTCGTCGAAATTGAACGCAAGTTTGAGCCGCGACCTGGCGGCGCCCCCCGACCCACAATTTCAATGTTCACGCCGACGCTGGCGACTTCGAGATTTTCTTCGGACCCCGCCGGCCGCGACGCGCCTGTCGATGAACATTGAAATTTGGGGGCGACGGGGGTGGGAAAAACTTGCGTTCAATTTCGACGAGGGTTGTAGGGCAGAAGAGCATCCTCCAAGAGTATGAGACCCTCCGCCGGCCAAAACACACAGCACATCCTGGGGTACCCTCGCCAGGGTACATAAGAACACCCAACAAACACGAAGAACGTTAGGGTACCCTCCTCGAACCGACCTAGATCTTTACCTCGGTCCGACTGTACTCGAGGTGAAAAGCTGGTCCCCAGGAAGGGGCCCAAACCTCTGGGCAGCGACGCTGCCAGCAAGAGAGGCGGCGCCGGACGCCTGGGCCAGGAGCCTCCCCCACGCGGCGGGAAACGCCCCCAGGAGGACTGGTCTTCCCCAAAGGGCCCCTCATATTCGGGGAGGGGGGAAGATAGTTGGCCCTGAAGACCCCCTTCTGGGCCCTAAGGGGTCCTCTTAGGGGCCCTGGAGGGCTCCGTTTCGGCAGCTCTCGCTGCCCCCCCCCCCCCCCCCCAGTTATCGCCCCCCCATGATGCGGCCCCCAACAAGGGGGTCAAGGGACGGCTCCAAGACCCGTCCAGGGGTGCGATACGTATGACCAGACGAGAAGCCTCTGGCCCCAACAGGGGGGGCTCCAAAAACCAAGGTCTCCAGAATTTTCAGAACCCCAGAATCCCAGAGGCCAGGATCGCAGGGTAACAAAAACAAAACACGGCGACAGTCCAAAAACCGAAGCCCAAAAGGGCCTCGAACTTGATTTAACGTCGTGCACACATCTTAACACGCACCGTGTGGCCTCAGCAACGCGCGATGACGTCAGCGGAGAGCGGCGGAGGAGGAGGAGGAGGGAGACGAGGCCGCGGAGGCAGATGACGAGAGCGGATGATGGCGGAGGCGGAGAAGGAGGAGGCGGAGGAGGCGGAGGCGGAGGAGGAGGAGGCGGACGAGGAGGAGGCAGAGGAGGAGGCGGACGAAGAGGCGGAGGAGGGAGGAGCCGGGAGGAATAGGAGGACTGGGAAGTGGAGGAAGGATAAGCAGGAGGAGGAGGAGGACGAAGACGACGACGTCGCACGAGGGGGGGGGGCCAGGCAATGGTCGTCTACTTGTTTTTCCCCTCTATCCTAAGATGGGGTGCTTGTTCTTAGTTACTTAAACGCCTTCGGACCACCGGATCCTGCTCCTCCTTCTCCTCTCCTTCCTGTACCTCGCTCAGTTTCCTCAGATACTCAGATTCAGATCACTCATTCTCGGACCAAGTACTGGCTCATAACGCTCAGACTCTCACCAATACTCAGCCAAATATTCATACTGAGATCGCTCATACTCATACTCACTCTCACTCTCAGTCATACACATTCACATTCTCTCATTTCGACTCACCCTTCGTCATTCAGACGGAGCCACATCACGTCCTCACTCAGACTCACTCATACACACAGACTGTATGTGTCAGGCAAGACGCAGGCTTCAACACTTCCAAGGGGAGATGCCAGGGGGAATTGCTCGGGCCCGGTCGCGACAAGATAGTGGGAATGTCTCAGGCGGTTTGCCTTCTTGCATGCTCAAAACCCACAGATTCTGAGGATGTCTCAAGCAAGCTGCTGGTTTCAACACTCCCAAAGGGAAGCCGCCAGAGGGTGCTCCACGAGCCTGGTGGCGCCCACATGATGCGGATGTCTCAGGCGGACTGCCTGTTTGCATACTCACCATCCTCTGCTGTCGTGTCACATGGTGAGGGCATCTCAAAAGAGGCGCTGGTTTCAGCACTAACAAAGGGGGGTGGAGACGCCAGAGGGTTATTTCACGGGCCCGCTCGCGCACAGTATTTAGGGTTGTCTCAGGCGGTCTGCCTGTTTGCATGCTCAACATCCTCTGCTTCCAGAGCAGGTTGTGAGGAGGTCTCAGGCGATGCGCTGGTTTCAGCACTCCCAAGGGGGAGCAGCCAGGTTTATTGCACGGACCCGTTCGAGCCAGGATTGTGTGGATGTCTCAGGCGGTCTGCCTGTCTGCATGCTCAACATATTCTGCTGCTGGGGCAGAGTGTAAGGAAGACGATGGTTTTAACAATCCCAAAGGGAAGCCGCCAGAAGGTATTTAATGGGCCCGTTCGCGCCCACAGTATGGAAATGTCTCAGGCGGATTGTCCGTTGGTATGCTGTCCACACCCTTTGATTTCGGAACAGATTCTGAAGATGTCCCACGCAAGTCAATAATTTCAGCACTCCAATGGGGAGACGCCAGGCAGAATTTCTCAGGCCCGTTCGCGCCCAGATTGCGGGGATGTCTCAAGCGGTTTGCCTGTTCCGGCGCCCCCGACTCCTCTGCTGGCAGAGCAGATTGCGGGGATGTCCCAGGCGAGGCACTGATCACTCGTTCGCAAGCACGTGTTCATCATACTCTTACTCAGACTCACTATCATTAAGACTTACTCACAATCAAACTCACTCACACTCAGACCGGCCCGTCCCCCCCCCATATCCGTTCATACTCGGACACGCTCGTACTCAAGCTCGCTCATGCTCATCAAACTCATACCCAGATCCACTTACACCCAGACATATCCATACTCTGCATCACTCGCACCCATACTCAATTCAGAAACAGACTTACGCATACTCAGACCCACTCGTACTCAGACCCGCTCATGTCAAGACTCACTCACACTCAAACTCAATCACACCTGGGCTTGCTAAGACTCAGACTCGCTCGCGATCAGATGGCTCACGCTCAGAGTAACTTACAGTCTTACTTCTTTTGGTGGTCCAGTGCCCCCATCGCACTTCCACTGGTGCTTCCTTCGTCTCTCCTGAAAGAAGCCCAGTGGAGGAAGACGTCGCTGAAGTTGTCGCTGTCGTCGTCGCCGTTGTCGTGCCCATCGTCTATGCTGACTCGACCTCACAACCAAATGCTCACTGACAGACTTACCCAGGGATCCTTGACAGGAGTATGGGATGCACAAATGGAAATCTCCGCGTCGAATGTGATGTTGCTACAACCCGCAGGTCCAGCGGTCCCGACCCCTTCCCCCGGGGGTAATTTCTCGTCCTGGGCCCAGTGTTAATGGCAACGGTTCTTGGTAACGGGCCCCAGAACCGTAATCTACGAAACACGCCTGGGTGGAGCAAAATCACGAGGTCGAAGATCTGGGAATCTAACATCGTGCCGATCTTAGAAGCCCCGTGCGGCCTCAGCAGCGCGCGGTGCGACAACACCTCTATGGGTAGGATAATAACTGCATGCCGAGACCTTCGGCGAGACCGAGCGGATCCCTGAATCAGGAAATCACAATCTTCTGACAGAAAGAACCTGTAGACCGATCCCCACCGAAACTTCCAGCGTTTGTGCCCAAGTCTGTTACTGTCTGTTACTGTGGCTGGGATGAGCGCGGCCCGCATGTCGCGCCTGTTGCGATGCCCTTGCTCGGCCGCTGCTGCAATCTACTCTATCACGTTCTGTTCGGTGCTGCTCCGTTCGACGCATCTATGAGTTATTCCTGTGAACAACCACACGTCGGCTCGCACGTTGCGTTCGACAGAGTGCACTTAATTGGCCGCTGCTGTGTTCTACAGCTCTCAACTATGTTATGTTATCGTATGTCCCGGTTGCCCTCCAATCTAAAATACCCTGTTCTGGACGGGCCGGCGTTACGTCGTGACGCTTTGTCACGCTTGGTACGTCGTCCAAACGGTCAGTGATGCGCCTCCTTGCTCCAATTGCCAGCATGACTTCGGCGCGCACGTCGCGCTTGATGAGGCACCGTTGATCGGTCGCTGACGCTTTTTGTTCTAATATACGCGGATACGTTGGGCATATTGTATTACGGGATGCTCTGCGATGTTGTCTTCAATTATGTGTAGTTACACTCTGTCCTGCTCTGTGGTGCCACGTGCAATTCTCATCTACGATACACTCTGCAAGTACATTATGGTATAGTATGTATGTTTGTCTTTCTTGTCATGAGATGTTTGTTCGGTAATGTCAAGATCGATTCCCCCCTACGCGACAAAAAACATGATGTTCTATGAAATTACAATACCTCATGCAGAAGTACTCTCACAAATACTTATATTAACCCAAACGTTACACCCGGATTCAGCTATTGCACGTCAGTCACGTTCCGTGCTACCCTCTAGGTCACGCTTGCATTAGCTTGCAGCATCGTACATGTATGTTGTGTAGTGGTTGGTTACTGCGTTGGTCGAACTTGCGATACCGAAATCCTGTGAACTATACTTTTCCCTAGTGTTGGATGAATGCGATGTTATACTTGTGTAGACTACTCTATGTTCTTGTATGCTATGTCATATGCGATGTGGTAATGCGTAGAATTACGCATGTTGTGCACACTCCCGAACATCTGATTGAACCACAGTGTATAGTATGGTGTAATGCCATCGTGTTGTCTGTAGTGGTAGCAGTGGTAGAGTATGTGAAGTATGCTCTCTTATGTAATGTTGGGCTATACTCTGGTGTCTCCCGCCCTGTCACACTGCGATGTATCATGGTACCGCATGTTGCGTTGTGTGAGCGTATGTTCCGTCATGCTTTGTTCTGGCATGGCGCGCAGTGCGATGCGTTGCTATGATATGTCATGCTATGCTGTGTCATGCTCGGGTCATTGCGATTTGCTATTTCCTGTCGTTGAAAATGGCCAACAAGTATGGCATTGCTGTGTCCGTTGTGTGGTGGCGGTTGCCACAGAGGTGCCAGTAGCTGAACAGTTATGTTATGGTATGGTAGGTGCTGGTCTGTTATGCTATGGTACGCCCTTCTCTGTCGCATGCTGATGTGCTATGTTATGTTACGCTAGGTTCTGTGGTGCTGCGTTATACAATGGTATGTTATGCTGGACGATGCGCTGCTCTGGCATACTATGGAATGCCATATCGCGCGATACTTCGTTCCTGCTATTAGGATACGCTGTGATACGGTATGGCCTTCCTATACAAGTATGATTGTCTTGCCTCCGTGGTATTCGATTTGCTGTTGTAGCATCACCAGTAGTCTAGTATGTGTGAGGTTTTTATGCTGTGCTACTTCACGGTCTGATATGTCATGATACGAACTGACATCGCATGGCTTCCTATGTTGTGGTATGGTGCAGGTGGTGATGTAATGCTATGGTACCGCACTATCTAGCATGCCATGATATGTAATGCAATCGTGTGCCCTGGCGTGTTATGTATTACAACGGTGGTTATGGCATAATCTTTGGTGATGTTATTATGACATGATGTTTGTGCCGTGTGTTACTCTGTGTTATTGATGAGTGACGCCTGGACGGCGTGATGCCGTGACGGTTCCCCCCCTGGGGCTGTCTGGTATGCACTGGTTTCCAGGATCCTCTGGGGTCAGGAGACCGCGGCATGATGTTGTCATTTGTCGAGGGCGAGAGGCGGGTACTCAGGAGTCTCGGGATCCTGTGGGGTCTGGCGACAGCAGGATGCAGGCTGGGCAAGTCTTAAAATCTAGATATGGCAGCCCTAACCTGTCGGGTAAGGAGCATAAGCTTCCAACGGAGTGTGCGAATCTCATGACTTCGTGCTGGTTCCACCTGGCGGCGCCTTCTGGCGCCGCCCCAAGCGCGCCAGCGCAGGGGGCCCAGCGCAAATTCAAGAAATCCGCACGGACCGTCGAAACTTGTGAATAGCGTGTCGCGGCGGCGGCTCTGGCGACACGGTAGGCCCTGCTCCGCGGGGCGGGAGGGCCGGACAAATCTCGGAACGCTGACGCTCGGGTACCGGGACGTGGGTAGCATGGCGCGCCGCAGCGTGGTGGGCCAGAACGGGCGGAACGACATGCTAACCCTAGAAGTTCCTGTCCACAGCCTTGTGCAGCTTCTCTCCCCTCGAACCTCGGCGTCCAGGTGGAACCACGGCGCTGCCGCGCCGTCGCCCGGGGCCGGGCCGCGGCCGTCTCTGCGGGCGCTGCCGCCGGTGCAGGAGCCGGCCGCCTGGCCCGCCGCTCTGGATCTTCGGCCCTTCTTCCACCTTGCTTCGCCTCCATCCTCCTCTTCCGCCTCCTCCTCCTCCTCCTCCTCCTCCTCCTCCTCCTCCTCCTCCTCCTCCTCTTCCATTCCCTTTCATTATGAATCACTTTTCCTGTCGCACCCCGAGGCCAGTTTGTAAAGCGGGCCGGGCGTTCTGCCTGAGACTTATGTATGCCCCTGAAGCTTAAACATGACACCAATTTCACAGATGAGGGCGGGTACATTTCAAAATGTGGCTCTCGTCCTAGCGCCGCGCACATTTGTTTTAAACGCTTGCAACAGTTTCACGGATTCAAGGCGGGTGGCTTTCAAAATGTCGCTCTCGCATGAGCGTCGCGCACATTCGTTTGACCAAACAAAATGCAATAGTTTCACGGATTGATTGGGTGCGGGTGGTTTCCAAGATGTAGCTCTCGCCTAAACATTTGCAAGAGTTTCACGGATTGGGGGCGGGCGTTTTTTCAAAATGTGGCTCTCGCCTTAGCGCCGCGCACATTCGTTGTAAATGTTTGCAAGAGCTTCACGGATTGAGGGCAGCTTCTTTTCAAACTGTGGCTCTCGCCTGAGCGCCGCGCGCACTCCCTGTACAATGTGCAAGAGTTTCGCGGATTCCCATGGTTACGATTACGGTTATGGGGGCGCAACAGTTACCATGATTCGCGGTGTTGAATTCCCAATAATGGCGTTCTGACGCGATTCAAGATCATGAAGACGCAACAGTCAGGTTTATCCGGGCCGTTGGAATCCCGAGGCCAACGTTTTGGCAGACTTCAAGGTCTTCAAACAGTTGTCTTCTAACGAGGCAGGTCCCTCTGTGGAAATGAACCGTTGTAGTGGCCTATGAAAAGGGAGCTTGGGTGAGGGTTTATTCCAACATCGTTGGTGACTGTTGGGTTTACACTGGTCCTCCTCCTCCTCCTCCTCCTCTTCCTCCTCCCCCTCCTCCTCCCCATTCTCTCCCTTCCCCCTCCTCCATTTCCTCCTCCTCCTCCTCGTCCTCCTCCTTCTCCTCCTCTACTGCCCTCCCCCTCCTGCTTTTACGTTGCGTCCTCCTCGAGCGTAGATGAGGGCGCGCCGAGAGGTCTTCACGCCGCAGATGCCCGCGGCCGCCGCGCCTGAAATCGCACAGCCCTCGCCTTTGATTGGCTGATCCCCTCGGGCAGCGCTGGGCGAGCAGCACGAAGGATAACTCTGAGAGCACTATACATGTATGACGCGTGCACAACGAGAGGGCCCCAAATCGGTCCAACAGGCACTCCGAGACATCATCACCCACGGAGTCCCGATCCAGGCTCCAGAAACGAGTACAGGTCCAGAAAAGGCAAAACGTGAAACTGCCCGAAATACGATAGAACCGATACCCCACGTTTGTTGTGCATGCTGGGGTTGACCTGGCCCGCTGCATCCGCGGCCGCGAGGAGGGAGCATATTTTCGCACACTTCCCGCAGGGCCGATCCCATGAATCGCGAGTCACGCCTGGCCCAAACCACACCCCCGCGCATTTCGCACAGCCCTGAATACTGAAGTCGGCCTAGTCGGGGATGTTCCTTTCGAGCCGGCGCCGGACTCTCTTGATCAGCTCAGGCTGGATCTCACCTCCGAGCAGGGCCAGGCAGCACCTTGGGATCTTCAAAAAGGCGCGCGAGCAGCTGCGCCTCCCTGAAAGTAGCGTGGGCAGGGCATAGCAGCTGGACGTGCCTGAAGACCGCTCCTATGTCGTCGGCTCACGCGCAGGTTCTCCCTTTACCAGGCCCGTGGAGGACTGCGCGGAACTTCCTCGGGAACAGGTTCAGGCTGATCGAGCAGATGCGACCACAGGCAGGGCGCCCTTGGATAAAGCCACTTGCCGCCAAGAAGAAGAACCCCCCCGAGCCTCCCAACGACTCCCGGTTCCAGGGACGTGGCAGCACCAGCATGATCAAAGTCTTGGATCGTGAAAACCTTCTCCCAGTGCCTCGCAAGCGCTCGAAGCACCCTGGGAGGCTCCACGAGCACGGGGCCGCCAGAGGCGCCAACGCCAGCCAGAGTAAGCCGGCGGTCCAAGGGCGACCATGGCTGCGAAACCTTCTGGGGCCCCGGCACGTGCGCGAAGTTTCTGCTAGACCTGAAGATCCCCGCGTGCTCGGGCGGCTTCCTGTACCTGGTTTTGCTGCGTTCGTGCCACCTCGGGGCGAAGGGAATTAGATAGCTCCTTGAACACCTCAGGAACGCTGACGGAGAGACTCTTCGCGGCAGAATCGATCAGCTGGTCCCTCGCGAGAGAAGGACAAGCCTGAGGCGCTCAGCGAGACGGGCGTCTTGCCTAAATGCTGCACGGGCTGCGATCCTCATGGCCATATACTTCACGAGTAACGACTTTGGACGACGGAGTGTGATGCTGCCACGAGCACGTCTAGCATCTCCTACCACTAGCGATATATGCAGTACCTGCGTTGCCCACAGAGTGCGAGGTTATCCATCGGAGCAGCCTTGACGGCCAAGCCCAGGAAGCGCTTGAATTCGTCAGCCTCGAGGAGGTTGGGAATGAGTCGCTGTCATCCTGCCAGAGGCCCTCGTGCCCTCAATGTGACTGTAATTACCTCGCCGCCCCTAGCGAACAAGGTCATGACCCAACCCCAGTAGCGAACAAGGTCATGACCCAACCAGGGGCCGAAAGGAAGACCGAGCAAGAATCGACGACTGAAAGGCTCGCCCTCCCATGTTCCACTCGCGGTCGGCCATGGTCTGCTCCTGAAGGCAGAGTCGCCGTGCATCGGCCACCGCCTCCTTGGCCATCTGCTCCTGAGTGCGAGTGGCGATGATGGGGTCGTTCGGGGCCAACGGCTGCCGACGAGCTGGTACTTCAGAACGGGCCATGCCGATCTCGGTTTTGAGGTGCCTGACTCGAGCGCCGAAGGACGGTCCTTCTGGTCTTCCCGTTGACGATGAACCGGCACCAGACGCTGGTCCAACTGCTGCGCCAGGGATGGAAACGAACGAACACCTGCATCACGCATGTTCGAGACTGTCGTCCGCCACATCGGCACAGATGCCTGACACTGGGCCACATCACTAGTGAGATCAACTTTGAGACTCGATGAAGGCACGAATGTTATCATCAGCTGGTCGGTCATGCAACTCTTCAAGGTCACTGCGTCCGTCACTGCCACTCGATCCACCACCACTGAAAGCTGCTGCCGTACGTTTGGACGCCTTCAACTCTGTTGATCAGCCTCGCCTTCAGCTGCTGCCGCCTCCCCGCAGGAAGGCTGCCCTGGCCCCCAATGGCTGAGCAAGAGAAGAGAATGTGTGAAGACGGGCCGAGCGCGAAGGAAGCCCGTTCTGCTCGCGCAGGGGAAGGCTTGGCCTGCTGTCGGCCAGGGAGCTTAGCCCAACCTCTAGGCTACAACCAAGCTCGAAGCGCCGAGGCACGCGTTTCGAACTTGAGCCAGAATGGCTACGGGTTCCTCCTTCTCCTCCTCCTCCTCTTCCTCCTCCTCCTCCTCTTCCTCCTCCTCCTCCTCCTCCTCCTCCTCCTCCTCCTCCTCCTCCTCCTCCTCCTCCCCCCTCCTCATCCATGATCTGAACGAGCTCGGCGCCGGCACCATGCTTAGCCATCTCCCAGACATCCAGCGTGTTGAGGAACATCGGACGGAAGGGTTTCATCATTTTCGGCCGCCAAGGGCCCTCGCCAGCGAACAAAAAGAACTTACCACAAAACAACTTCCCAGGAAAAGGGTCCAGACTTCCAGGGACCCCATCTTCATCAGATCCCGACATCAGATCTGGGTCTACGGACAGGAACTGTTGCTGAGTCTGTCGCGGCGGCGGCCCCTGCAACACGCTACTCCTAACAAGCTGACGGCGTGTCGCCCCGCTCCGACGGGCGGGAGGCCGGGACAAATCTCGGCACGTTGACCGTTGGGGACCGGGGCGTGGTCAGCGCGTCGCGCCGAAGCGTGGGGGCAAGCACCAGCAGAGCCACGAGCTCAGCAAGCGCTCCTGATTGCACAGCCAAGCCGCTACCACGAGGGCCGCTGAAGAGCGCCCGGGTGCACGGGGAGCGCCGGAGGAACAATCAAGCTCTGTGAGAACGTTTTCTTTGAAGGCAGGTCTGCCTTCAAAAACAACTTTTTTTTGAAGGCAGATCCGACTTCCACAACATACGTTCTTTTTCAAGACAGATCTGCTTTTTGAAAAATGCGTCTCACAGAAGGCAGATCTGCCTTCAAAAAATACGCTCTTACAGAGGACCCCGAGCTCGAGCTGCTCCTCCTTTCGTCGGCGCGCCCACGGGAAAAAGCAAAGGGGGCGCGCCCTCCCAGGAGGCTCGGAAGGCCTCTGGCCTTCTGGGAAGTGTCCGAAGCTTCCTTCGAGCTCACAGCGTGAGGGGCAACGATAGGGGGGGGCTGGCACAGGGGGGGATGCATCGACATGGAATCGGCGATGCATCGCCGATAGACAGGCGATAGGCCCCCGATAGTGGATCAGCACCTTCCTGCGATGGTCGGGGCTATCGGGACCCTATCGGCGATCAATGGGCGATTGGGGGTCGATGCATCGCCCCCTATGCCTATCCCCCCCTATCGTTGCCCCTGACAGTGGGGCTTCTCAGAGGGCCGGAGGCCCTCTGAGAAGCCCCGCCGCCTCCTGAGCAAGCCTGCCTCCTCTCGCCGCCCGCCTCGGTGCGCCGACGAACCCTCCACCTCCACCTTACATGTCTTCCGCCCTCCGCGGAAGGCGCGGGAGAACTGATCGAAACTAAGGGAGCCCTCACGCAAGGCAAGAAAACACACATAGATCATATCGGAAAAGGGGCGGAGGGTTATTGCGGAAGGTCTGGAGGAATGAGGGGAAGGGAATGGGGGAAACCTCGCACGGCCCCAGCGGGCCATCCACAGCATCTCCTGGCGCTTGTTGGCCCCACGGCCGAAAGAACGCGCAGGTCCACCATATTGCCAGCACCTTCACTGGTACCCGGCATTCGCGACGGAGGCGCTTCTAAAAGTCGAGCAGGGAATCGACTACAAAATGGATTCATCCCAGAAATTAGTTGCTCGTCGAGTCATAAGAAGCATGCTCGCATATCTGCGAACATGTTACGGTTTCCGTCTGGATCCGACGCACAAATTCGTTTATGGAGTTAATCAATTATGTAGACGTCCCAAGACGGCCCAAGAGGGTTCCAAGACGGCCCAAGAGGCGCCCAAGACGGCCCAAGAGGGCCCCAAGACGGCGCCAAGAAGCGGCCCAGACGGGGACCCGCACGGATATTTCGAGCCCCCGCCCCCAGAGCTCCAGAGGTGGCCCCGAGAGACCCCACAGAGGTCACCAGGAGGCCCCGAGAGGGTCCCAAGAGGCCTTGAGGATGGCTCGAGAGGTGTCCAAGGGGCTCCCAAAGGCACCCAAGAGGATCCCAAAAAGGCCGCAGAGCTGCCGCCAAGAGGCCCCTCGAGAGCGCTCCGACAAGGCCCCATGAAGCATCCTTGGGGACTCCGACCCTCAATCCAGGCACGGTGACGGGATGGGCCGCAGGCCATTTGGATGTAATGATTCCTTCTCGACATGGACCCCGTGAAGTCTGGACCCCTTCCTGGGAACCGCCTTTTCATCCCGAGTCGCCCTTTGACGGCTCTGGGCCTGGGCGAGGAGGGCCGCAAGAGGCAGACAGTTGCCAAAACCTCCCGTCGCGATTCTAAGGTGGCGACATCCGAGCCCTACCCCCCCAAGCCATCGATTCTCTCCTGAATCCACGGGAGGCGGAGGAAGGGCTTGGATTTCACCACGTCCTCGACAACTTCCGAACCCTGCCCCCCCCTCCGCGCCCATCGAGTTGGTTGCCTGCATCGTGGATCGGCAAGGGCAGGGTTCGGACCTGCCGCCGAGCTCTTGTACGATGCACGGCGCGACGGTGTGTGGGGAGCGAGGACACCCCAGGGTTGAGCAGGGACCGACCGTCCCAGCATTCCTATAGGCCTACCACGATACTGCATGCTCTTAGAACCCAGAAGTGCTCTCAGAACAAAAGCGATGCTCTCAGAACATAAACCCGGCGCGCTAACACAAAACGCAGTCTCTGCCAGCACTGCTCGGAGAACCGCTGGTGCAGACCACACACGGCTCTCAGAGCACTCGTGGGTGGGCCTACAGGCAATCTGGAACGCTTCCCTTGGATGCTCGTTCTGGGGACCTTCCTGGAGCCACTCGCTCCACTCGTGCGTCGAAGCTGCGTCGAACGTCAGTCGATTTGGGTCGACCCTGAGTCGAACCTGAGTCGAACATGAGTCGAACTTGAGTCGAACTTGAGTCGAACTGGGGTCGAACAGATCCGTTAGGTGGGCTCCAGGAAGGTCCCCGAAACGAGCATCGAACTTCCCCACTGCTCAACAGGGAGTCTGGGCAGCGAGGGCCCCCTGCCTCGTCGCGCGCCCGCGGGCCCGCCGCCGGCTCGAGCCGCCTCCTCTTGGCGGCTGGCCCCGGAGAGGCTGCGTGCGCCTCCGCCTCCCGCCACCGGCTCCTCCGCTGCTCCTCGCGAGCGGCGGGCAGCACATCCGCATCCGCGCCCTCGCGGCATGTCGGGGGGGGCGAGGGGGCAGGGCAACAACGGGCAGGGTAGAGACTCAGCTCACGCAGCTGGGTTTCCTGGCGCCTCCTGGCGGCTACACGCAAGAGTGACCCTGAGTAAGAGTGGCCTTTGGTGCGCGGCTTTTGGGGGGCCGCGGCGGAACCAAGCACAAGTGCGCAAGACGCTACTACCGCATCGCGTTCGGCGATCGGGGGACCCCACTGGGCCCGCACCTAAGGTCACTCCGGCGAAAGGTCACTCTTACGTGTAGTCGATTCTGGCGCCCAGAGGCGCCCATGTATCGAGCGATGGGCCCGGCGGCGGGGCGGAAACCAGCTGCACGCAGCAGAGTTCGTACCCGCCCCGTTCCCTATCCTACCCCCAAAACCCCCGACGTCATGATATTTTAATGACGTGGATCCCCAGAGGTTTCGACCTATTCCCCGGGACCTGTTTTTCATCCAGAGTCGTTTCTTGACGGTCCTGAGGCCCGGACAGGCCCCCAGAGGCCGAAGATGGTGAAAACCTCCAGTCGTGATTTTTTCGTTGCTCGATGGGGTCTGGGCCCTTCGTCTGGCCCGAGGTCTGAATTCTGGAGCGCGATCCCGCGCACACGCGGTCGCATGCAGGCGCCCCGCGCGAGGCACCCCGTGCCCGCGTGGCCGCGTCGCCCAGGGATGCCCGGGCCTGCAAACGGCCGCGGCTACCCGTCGGTCGGAAGAAGTGGGTCCCAACACGAGGTAGAAAGGCGCTGAAAGTAGATTGGGCTTCCGCCCCCCTAGACATGATCGCGTCGCACAAGAATCAGGACGGGAGGGTTTTGGTCAATTTCGGCCTCGGGTGTCCCTCGCAGGGCCTCGGGTTAAAAAACGACTCAGGATGGAAACAGGGTCTCGAGGAAAGGGTCGGGATTCCCAGGGACCCCGTGCCGAAAAAAAAACGCTGCATGTCTGGGCCTTGGGACGAGGGAGAGACCACTCCCCTTGAAGCAGACTGGGACCTGGATCTCCTCAGCAGATACCTGCTCTCAACGACCGGCGCGTACGGATGTGCTGCCTCGCGCACGAGCTCCTGCAGCCCCGGCTCCCCCCAGGAGGCGAGCTGGGCGTGCCGCTGCAGCCCCCGCGGCCTCTCTGGCGACGGACCCCGGCCGCCGGAGCCGCGGCCGGCCTCCCTCCGCAGGAAGTCCGGCCAGCAGCTCCAGAGCAGGTGGCGCTGCTCCGGGATGCGCCGCAGCCCGAGGTAGGAGAGGTACGCCTCCGCCTCGGGCGGGGTCGGGCTCGGGGTGGCCTGACAGGGAGGAGGAGGAGGAGGAGGAGGAGGAGGAGGAGGAGGAGGAGGAGGAGGAGGAGGAGGAGGAGGAGGAGGAGGAGGAGGAGGAGGAGGAGGAGGAGGAGGAGGGGGAGGAGGAGGAGGAGGAGGAGGAGGGGGAGGAGGAGGAGGAGGAGGAGGAGAAGGACGAGGAGGAGCAGGAGGACCAGTGTGAACCCAAGAGTCATCAAGGATGTTGGAATTAATCCTCCCTCCAAGCCCCCTCTTCATAGGCCCCATACAACGGTTCATTTCAGTTGGGGGAACTGCCTCGTTGGAAGACAACCGTTTGAAGATCCTGAAGCATGCCAAAACATTGTGCTCGGGATTGCAACGCCGCGGATCAACCTGACTGCTACTTCTTGACGATCTGGAATCGTGCCAAACCGCCATTTTGGGGATTTCAACACCGCGAATCCACATGACAGTTGCACCCGCGTAATCCTGACTCCTTCCAAACACCATTTCTGGTACGCTCATCATGGGAATCCGCGGAACCCTTGCACATGTTTAAAACGAATGTGCGCGGCGCTGATAAGGCGAGAGCCACGTTTTGAAAACGACCCGCCCTCAATCCGTGAAACTCTTGCAAATGTTAACAACGAATGTGCGCGGCGCTGAGGCGAGAACCACATTTTGAAAACCACTCACCCTCAAGCCGTGAAGTTCCTGCAAGTTGTGAAAGCGAATGTGCGCAGCGCTTAGGCGAGAGCCACATTTTGAAAACGGCCAACCCTTCATCTGCGAAATTGTTCTCATTTCTTGCTTCAGAGTCGTAAATCGTGGGGAAGTCTCAAGCGAAACGCCCGACTGGCCCTAAAAATTGGTCTCCGGGTGCGAAAGGGAGAAATGTTTTATAAGGCAGAAAATGACAGAGGAGGAGGAGGAAGAGGAGGAGGAGGAGGAGTTGGAGGAGTTGGAGGAGGAGGAGGAGAAGGAGGCGATAGGACGGAGGAGGAGATAGGACGGAGAAGGAGGAGGGGGAGGAGGAGGATGAAGAAGAGGAGGAGAAGGAGGAGGAGAAGGAGGAGAAGGAACAGGAGAAGGAGGAGGACGAGGAGGCAGGACGAAAGAGAGAGGACGAATGACGGAGGAGGGAGGATGGAAGGCGCCTGAGGCCCCAGCGGCACCAGAGAGCTCTGCAGCCCGTCCCGCTGCTGCAGCGCCCAGCGTGCCACGTTCGGCAGCCGCAGCTCACGCACCCACTCCGGCGACAGGACGTCTGCCTGCCTCCCCGAGAGCGCCCTGCGCACGGACACCACGAGCGCCTGCAGCAGGGCGGGCGCGGTGCCGCGGAAGCGGGCGCCGACGAGGCACACCTCCGGGCCGCCCAGCCTCGGCGCCACGACCTCGCAGCGCTCGAAGAGCACGGCGCACAGCGCGGCGAGCACCTCGAGCTCGGGGCTGTCGGGGGCCACGGTCTGGAGCAGCACGCCCCCGACGCGGAGCACCCCGACCGCGGCGACCAGGGTCGCTAGCGCGGCATGCTCCACGCCGGAGGCGCAAGCGGCAGCGCCCCTCGCCGGCGAGGACGCCACCACCAGGTGCTGCAGCCCAGCGGCGTTCTCCTGCCACACCCACGTCCACAGGGCCTCCACGCGCCAGGAGGGCCCAGAGAGCACGCGCCCGGAGCCGTCCTCCGTGGGGAACCAGCAGTCCGAGCTGTGGCAGAAGAGGGCGTTCTCCGCCTCGGGCCACTCGCTGGCCCCGGCGCGCCCCTCGAAGTGCGGGTGCTCCGCTACGCCGCGCCACCGCCACTTGAGCCCCCGGCGCCCCTCGCCGCAGGCGATGAGGTGGCCGAGGGCGAAGACGGAGGTGGCGGCCTGCTCGCCCACGTGCATGGAGTTGAACGCCTGCCCCACGGCGGCCGCCTCGGGCCAGATGTCCCCCTCGCAGGCGCGCAGCACCTCGCAGGCCCGGCACCACTCCGCGGACGCCTCGGGCGCGAGCCGCGCCCGCGCCGCGGCGACCGCCGCGGCGGCCACGCCGCACGCGCCGACGGGCGCCTCGGGCGCACCGGCGCCCGCCGAGGTGCCTGCCTCCGCGGGCGCCCCGTGCGCGGGCTGCGCCTGCACAGCGGCGGCCTCCGTGCCGCCGCGCGCTGCACCGTCGGGCGGCGCCGGGGCGCCGGGCCGCGGCTGCTCCGGCTCGGCGGGGCGCGCGGCGCGCGCGCGGTGCGCCCGGCGGGCCTGGAGCTGCTGCAGGAGCGCCGCCTGGCCGAGGCGCCGCGCACGGGCAGGCCCAAGCTGCACCGGAACGCGAAGTCGGATCGGATATCGACACGCATCGGGAATCGCTGGCGATAGCGGCCCAAACCGAATGGAAGCCCGATCGCCGCCCAGCTCCAGCTATCCCAGGGCGACGCCGGAAAATCAAGCCGAATCGAATCGAATCGGAACCGCCCCAACTGGCGAATCGAATCGCATCGAATCGTATCGGATCGGATCGTAGGCGGCCCTGCCACCGGCCCTCGACGAGAGGCACTGTTTTGCCCCGGCCCCGCTCCACCCCACTCCTTCACCCCACTGTCCCTCCCTCGCCGCCTTTTGGTTCGGTGGTGGGCCGCAGAGGCGTGCAAGCATACCTTTCGGCTCGCGGCATCTCCGGCGCTCACGTTAGCAAACGCCCACCCGCCCTCCGTGAGCAGGCTTGCTAGAATCAAAGGCTGAAAACAAGAACCGTGGGAAGAGGGCAGGAGGGCGCCCCCTGATTAGCGGCGACCTCTGGTTTGCCCAAGCCCTGTTGGCAGGAAGGCGCGGGATGGGTGAGCCCACGCTTGGTGGGCCCTGGAAACGACAGGCCAATTTTAGAACTGGTGCCGATCTGCAATTTCGTTGTCGGCTCCAGCGCAATAATTTTCCCGGTTCCGTCGCCGTTGCTGCTGCCTGTTCTGGCTACGATTCCACAGACGCTTCCTTTTGCTGTTTCCTGGCACATGTTTTCAACCGTTCTCGTGTTCCAGAGACAGTTTGTTGAGAACATCAGAAAATATGCCCTGCCGCTTCCGCGGCCCACTGAGAGCCCGCGGAACTCAAGACAGAGACGTCGCCGCCCCCCCACCCCTCCGGAGAGGAAGATGAAGGAAGAACAAGAGGCGGGGGGGGGAAAAGAGAGGAAAGCCCCGACTCTGGATCCACCGTGCTTGTGCTTTTTATTTTCCCCCGACAAGTACCCCAAACGAAAGGAAAAAGGAGTGCCCATCACTCTCCCCCTGGCTTCTAATCCAGGGGAGAATGATCGGCACAGTAGACTCAAGCGGTAGGAGATCTTTCTTCACGAAATCTTCGCCTGAAAGGAACACATCATCTGTTAAGCCAACATATTGGCCAATAGCGCAGCACTGCCCAACATGGTCTAATTACAAAAATCCCGAAGACATGCCAAGAGCGCCGCAAAGCGGGCCGAGAGACGCCCAAGACGGCTCACGAGTCAAGAGGGCTGCCGAAAGGATAAAAAAGGAACTCCAACTGACATGCCAGACCCTCAACCCCAAAAAGACCCCCGAAACCGCCAGCAGGCCCCAAAGAAACCAACCTGAGGTCCCAAGAAGTCCTGGGAACTCGAAGCACTTCAAAAGGTCGGCGGCGCGGCGTAGGCCCATGAATCCACGTCCGGACTGCAGCGAAGCGTCTCGGCAGTCCGACAGGACGGGTGTGTGACGCCAGGGCCCAGCCACGATACGTCAAGGAAGGCCGATTGCAAAACATCGCATTCTCATACGTTGAAAAACAACCCCCCTTAATCCCCCCCAGGGCCGCCGCCGAGTCGCCGACCCGTTTCCACGTACTTTGTGAAAACCTAGAAAAACGCATGGAAGTCATTGATTTAGGCCTCTGGACCCTCCTCGAAGCCCACAAGGGGCGTCAAGAAGGCGAATGATGGTTTCAAGGCGGCCCAAGAGAGCCCCAAAATTGCCCCAAGACGGCCCAACATGGCCCCGAGAGGGCCCACAAACCTACCAAGACGCCCCAAGAGGGCCCCAAGAGGACCCCCAATAGCGCCTCCAGAAGCCCAAATCATAAATGTTCGTATGGTTGTGGGAAGATTTTAACGTTCTCGCCTTTCTCGACTCTGACAAGCCAGTGACGGCCCAAGCAGCCTGCAGAATGGCCCCCAGAAGGCCTAAGAAGCCCCCGAGAGGGCTCCAAGACGGCCCCAGAGGCCCCCAAGACGGCCCAAAGAGGCCCCCAAGACCAAGAGGCCCCTTCCACGGCCCAGAAGGACCCCAAGAGAGCCCCAAGGCGGCCGCGGGATCCCCCCAGGACGATCTTCCAAGGGGCGATACAACGCAAAAGCGCCCTGTCGCGTGGAAGTTGGTCACGGCGGCGCCCATGAGTAGAGCCGGCGCTGGGAGGGAAGATGGGGCCGCCGCTTCCCTCATCGCCCTCCTCATCCTCGTCATCGTCGTACTCCTCATTCCTATCCCCGTCTTTTCCCTCCTGTTCTTCCTCATCGTCCTCATCGCCCCCTCAGCCCGAGGTTGGAACCTCGACGAGCGAGTCTCCACGTCCCCGCACCTTGGCGGAAATCCTCGCTACGATGGCTGGAGGCAGCGCGTTCACGGTGCATTCTAACTGCGTGAGCGGTTCTAAGGACACCTCCAAAGAGGCCCCCACCCGAGACACCTCCAAGAGGCCACAAGGAAGCTCCCAAAAGGCCCCGCAACGACTGGACTGTACGTGGCCCGGACGTGCACACCCGCGAAGCGAGAGGAATCCACGTCCGGACTGCAGCGAACCGTCTCGGCAGTCCTAAGACGAGAGTGTGCGACGCCGGGGCCCAGCCACGATGCGCAGAGGAAGGGCAATTGCAAAGCATTGCGCTCTTATACAGTGCGAAGCAACCCCCCTTTAAGCCCGCCTCAGGGCCGCCGCCGGGGTGCCGACCCATTTCCACATGTAATGTAAAAACTGTCCAAAACCTGAAGGACATTATGATTTCGGCACCTTGGGCCTCCTGAAGGGCCAAGACGGTTTCAAGACGGCTCAAAATGCTCCCAACACGGCCCAAGATGGCCCCAAGACGGCCCAAGATGGCGTCAGGAGGGCCTTAGAAACCCCCATGATGGCCCAACGGGGCTCCAGAAAGACGCCCAAAAGCGCCTCCGGAGGCCAAACCTATTAATTTTTGCATTGGCGTTCGTTGATTTATCGCGCTTGCGCCTTTTGCACTCTCGGGGGGCCATGGCGGCCCAAACTGCTTCCAAAGTGGCTCCAAAACGGCCCACGACGCTCCCAAGAGGGCCTCTATACAGCCCACGAAGGCCCCAAGATTGCCGCACAAGGCCCCCCAACCCAAGACGGCCCCAAAGGCCGCCCGAAAGCCCCCCAAGACGGCCTCCGCTGGGGCCAGACGGCGCAAAAGCGCCCCGAGATAGCCCAAAAGGCGTTCAAAAAGCCCCAAGAGGCCCCAAAGAAGCCCCAAAGAGGGCCTCAGAGGCGCCCAAGACACCCCAGTAGGCCCGACAAAGACTTTACTGCGCGTGCTCAAGAGAATCTGGATCTGCTGCCTTCGTAGAAATGCGCGGGGGCGCTGCCAAATCCGCCGCTCTTTCAAGAGCGCCAGGCTATAACATTTCTGACACGCCACCAACATGCAACGTATCCCATGTGTCCACTGATTGCATAATTGCTACATATCGTATTGCGTTACATTAGTATGTCTCCCCCCTTCAACCCCCCCCCCAAAGCCACCCCACATCCACCGACCCAAGAATGGCGGACCTCTCCTGGACCAGAATGAAAATCAATGATTTGGGCCTCCTGAGCCTGTTGCGGGTCTAAGAGGCCGTGAAGACGGCTCAAGATGGCCTCAGTACAAGCGAAGACGGCCCCAAGACGGTCCAATATGGCCCCAAGAAGACCAACAAAAACACCCAAGACGGCCCAAGACTGCCTTGAGGGGACCTCCAAGAGCGCCTGCGGAAGCCAAAACCATCGATATTTCGGTTTTGAAGAACCTTACTTAGCGTTCTCGCCTTTGTCGACTCTCAGAATCCAATGACGGCCTAAGCAACCTCCAAAATGGCCCCAAGACGGCCCAAGAAGCCCTGAAGGCCTCCACGACGGCCCACGCGACCCCTAAGACGGCCCAACTCAACAGGACCCCAAGAAAACCCCCGAACGGCAGCGAGGGGCGCCCAGGACGGCCTCCGAATGGGCCACACGCAGCACGAGCGCCCCAAGACGGCCTAAGACGCCCCCAAGAGGCTCCAAGAAGCCCCCACCCAAGACACCTCCAAGAGGCCACGAAGAAGCTCCCAAAAGGCCCCGCAACGACTGGACTGTACGTGGTCCGGACGTGCACCCCGCGAAGCGAGAGGAATCTTCCTAGACGAGATCTGGAAACACATCCTTTGCGAGGTTTGAGCGTGCTGAGGTGCCCAAGAGCTTCTGTGAGTTCCCAGGGTAGTTGGGGGATGAGACACATCCGTGCGAGACAGTCCGAAGGGCCTCCAAGACGGCCCAAAGAGAACCTCAAGCTGGGCTCAAGAGGAAGATCTCGAACTGGCCTTGGGAACCCCTCCCCCCCGAGAGGGCACCCAAAAACCGCGACCGTCCCCCAAGAGGCCCCCCAGACGCCCCCAGAACGCTCCCAGACGCCCCTACAAGGCCCCCCCGAGGCACCCCCCAGAGGCGTCCAAGAGGCCCAGGAGAGACATCCCAAGACAGTCCGAGAAACATCCAAGACGCCTCGGACTTACGACCTGGGCACGGTGGCGGGATGGGCCGACGGCCACAGGATCCGCCGCCCCCTGCTTGCAGGGGTGCACGGCGTGCTGGATGTTTCAGGTTTTGGTTTGGGTTCTTTTTCCAAAAGAACTCCCCAGTGGGCTCCGGCAGAACCCGCCGGCCACCCGGAAGGTGCTCAACGACCGGAAAAAATCCTCCAAAAAACGGCCGTTTCGCTCGGGACATCCTCAAAAAATCGCGAAGATGGCCCAAGATGGCCTCCAAGTCCGCCCGAGATGGTCCAAGACGGCCTCCAAAACGGCCCAAGAGAGTCCAAGACGGCCCAAGACGGCCCAAGAGGCCCCCCAGAGGCCTCCCAGACGGCCCAAGAGGCCTCCAAGAGGTCCTCCAGGAGAGTCCGAAGAGGCCAAAATCATTGATTTTTCCTTGGTTTTTGAAGGATTCTGGCATTTGCGCCTTTTCGGCTCTCCGACGGCTCGAGACGGCCCAAGAAGCCCCCAAGATCGCCCAAGAGGCCCCCAAGAGAGCCCCATGATGGCCCAAGTGGCCTCCAAGATGGCCCCTAGAGGGCCCCAAGAGGGCCCAAGAGGCCTCCAACACGCCCAAGATGGCCTCCCAGACGCCCAAGATGGCCTCCAAGACGGCCCTGGAGCATTCCAAGCGGGCCCCAAGTCGGCCCATAGAGGCCCCCCAAACGGCTTCCGACGGCTTCAGACGTGCCAGGAACCCACCAAGATGGCCGAAGTTGGCTCGAAGCTGGCCCGAGACGGCCCAAAAAGCCCCAAAGATCGCCCAAAGCTTGCCCAAGAGGCCTCCAAGACGGCCAAGATGACCTTCAAGATGCCCACGTGTTCCCCGAAGGCTTTCCAAACCGATTCGGGGAACACGTGGTCCGATAGCTTGGCAGGTCTGGCCTCAACGTTCGGCCACATAGGCGCTTCCAAAAAGGCAGGGGGCGGCGGTGATTCGCCGTAGGCGTCTTCGATATGTGCTAAACGCACACATATATACACATACATAGATACATACATCCATACATCCATACATACAAACATACATATATATTTATATGTATATATATACATATATATATATATATATATACAAGACTGCATTGGCGTTTCGCGCCATGCGTTTTGTTCCGGACCCTCCCCGGCAAAGCAATCAATCATCCCTTGCTTCAGCGAGGGGGACCTCGAAGCCTGGACGACGGGCGACCAGCGAAGTTGTCTGATATCCTTGGTGCCTGCTGACACCGCGTTCACCCGATGCGCTTGCACGCTCTTGCAAACGTGGGGAAGGAATGATGATTTGTTCACGCGCGAAGATCCTTTGAGTAAGTGAGGAGCGTTCCCATGACACGCCGAAGAAGCCACAGTAGCTCCAAACAAATCGATGTATGGTAGCTTCGTGAATGCCTGGAAGGCTTCAGGCACCCAGCAAAAGTTCGATCGTCGAACTTCGAAATAGATCCATTGCCTGTCTCTCTCGATCGAGGAAATTAAACCTCGAGCCTCAAGCGTGGAACGAAGATCGTCGGGTCGGCTCGATGTGCTTCGTAAGAGAAAGCCGTCTGGGCGTTTCTGGAGCTCTTTGGGGCCGTCCTGGGGCCCTTTTTGGGCCGTCCGGGGGACTTCTTGGGCCGTCTTGGGGAGCTGGGGCCCTCCAGAGGTCTTTTGAAGCCATCTAGGGCCCTCTTGGGGGCCTCCAATGGCTTGGGGGTCTCCCATGGCTTTCGTGGGTCTCTCTTGGGAGCCTTCTGGGGGCATCTTGGGCTTCTTGCAGGCAGTCTCGGGGCTCTCTAGGGCAGTCTTGGGGCTCCCTTGGGCCGTCTTCAAACCCTCTGGGGGGGCCTCTTGGGCCGTCTTGGTACGATAGATGTCGGGGGCCCATCGGGCCGTCTTGGACGCTGCGAAGTCCCAAACAGCGGATACATTAAATTTGTACACTTCCCCTCGGAATGGGACGATGTTTGTTTGCTTCTTCGGGGCTCTCTTAACAACCCCTTGGGGCGCCTTGGGGGCCTCTTGGGCCGTCTTCAGACCATCGATGTTCCTCTTGTGAGCGCTCTTGTGCTGTCTTGGGTCTCTCTTGCGCCTCTCCGATGACCCCTCTGATCGCCTTGAGTCTGCTCGCAAGGCCGGGCAAGGCGCCCTGGGAAGCCCGGAAGGGCCAGCGGACCTTCTCCAAGGGCGTCCAGGGGGCCGCTGAGACGTCCGAAAGGGCGTCCAGGGCGTCCCTGGGGGGGGGTCCAGTTTAGGGGTGGTGGTGGTGGTGGTGTGGGGGGTCCGGGTAACAAAAATATGAGAATATGAATATCGGCCTTGGGAAGGGTGACCCAAAGATCCGATGTCTCAATGCCCGGTCCTGGGAAGTCCCGACCCTCTCCCCAGGGCCGAACTTTCGTCGTAAGTGGGGGTTGACAGACCTGGGGCGAGGGATGCGCCCCGACAAAAAGCACGCCAATAGATGAGCAACCGCCTCCGTCGGCTGTTTCGGCCGTGGGCGAGGGGACGATCCTGTCTTGTTGTGAACTTCCGCCCAGGATCACCCGAAGACCCCCTCGGGGCGACAGAGACGAGCACCCAGGGGGGCGCAGCGACCCCTCCCACGGCGCTGATTTGTTCTATATCCACGGACGCGTGTCATAGCCGACCTGCAACTCCCACATAAAGACCAGATCGTGCTACGCGCACGCGGAAACAAGGGAGCTGCGTGCACATGAGGAGGTGGCGGGTGAGCAGGAGGATGAGCGGGAGGAAAAAGACGATGACGAATAGCAGCAGTAGGAACTGAAGCGGAAGGATCGGGATCAACAGGAGGACCAGGGGAAGGCGAAGCGGCAACAATGAAGCAAGACTCGGATCCAGAAAAGTGGCCCGCCCTGGGGCGAGGGCGCCATTCTGAACGACGGGAACACAGCGCCGATCCGGAAAATGAGGCATACACTGCACCGGGAGCACCGTTGTGAAACACCAGAAGCCATCGGATTGTACAATAGAAAGAGTATACAATGTTTGACATCGAATATCAAAAAAGACACACGCAGGGGGCGGGAGATCTTCTAGACAACTTCAGGGGTGGAGTGAGAGTAACACATTGTGAAACTGTGGAGGTTGGAGGGGTAATCCAAAAGGGGAGAGGAGGAGGAGGAGGAGGAGGAGGAGGAGGAGGAGGAGGAGGGGAGGAGGATGATGATGATGAGGAGGAGGAGGAGGAGGAAGAGGAGGGGGAGGAGGGGGAGGAGGAGGAGGAGGGAGGAGGAGGAGGAGGGGGGAGGAGGAGGAGGAGGAGGAGGAGGAGGAGGAGGAGGAGGAGGAGGAGGAGGACGAGGAGGAACTGTCTAGGCAACAGTGTTACCTACGAGTCATCTTGAAACCCCAAACCGCGCAGAACTCGCGACGACTGCGACGCACCAGAAAAACACACGGCGCCGCCTAGCGTTTCAAGCAGAGTCCACGCAACCACTATGTCTCCCACGGACAAGAGAGGAGGGAGGCAGGACAACAAATAATAAAGGGATGACGATAATCCCAGCAGGCGGGAGGAGCAGGGTGAAGAAGGAGGAGCAGGAGGAAACGCCAGAAACGCCAAAAAACGCGAATGCGTTGAATGCTTCGTGGATCTACGGGGCATTTTACGTATGTTCCGAAGACTTTAAGAAACATCATTTTCGGGGTAAATCAATCGTGTAACGGATCCCCTAATTGAATTCGCCGTCGCGCAGGAGGAGGTCCGACGAGGGTGGCGCCATCCCAACCCCAACGACGCAGAGCGCAAGCCACACCCCCGCGTGACCACACCCGTCCCAACCCCCCGACGTCGTGCATCTTTGATTCACGTCAACCCCCAGAGGTGCTTCATCTCGACCCCTTCTCTGGGACAGGCGTTCCATCCCGAGTGGGTCCTGGGCGGTCCCGAGGCCTGGCATGGGCCACCAGGGGTCGAACGTAGCGAAACACCGCCCGTCGTGACTCGCTGATGGCCCAGGGGGGGGGGGGGGCGGAACCAGACGCCATTGGCAGTCGCCGACCGATGGATGCCACGGCAGCGCAGCAGCCGCGATGCGCCTGTGTGCACCCTGGCGCCGGCGCGGCGGCGGCGGCGACGGCGGCGGCGGCGGCGGCGACGAGGACGGCGGCGGCGGCGAAGAGCTGGAGTCAGTTCGGGCATGTCCTCCCACTGTCGGGCTTGGTAGAAAAAGGAAGCAGACTCAACACATAAGCAAAGATGGTCCAAAGACCACGACGGATCGTCATTCGACGATGTATTCCTCTTCTTTCGCGTGCTCCTCCTGTAGAGGGGCATGCCCGATTGAAAGCTGGAGCGCTGCGCCGGGACAGTGGCGGCAAGGCGAGGCACGCCGAGACGCCGCGGCGGCCCCCGCGGGCGCCTGCGCGCCCTCGGCGCCGGCGGGCGGGCCCAGCCGCAGCGAGGCGGGCGCCCCGCCCCAGCCGGCGCGGGCGCGCCCCGCCGCCTGGCGCGGGCCCCCCACCGCCGCCGCGCGACGGGCGGTCTGTGCACGATCGGCGAGGCTTCTCCGAATTCGAGCGGGTGGTAAGGGGGGGGGGGGGCCAAACGGGGGGGGGGGAAGAGAAGGGCCATATAAAGGGGGCGCTTTGGGGCTCTCCTCTTGGGCACCTGCGGGCTCCCAAAGGCGCCCTTATAAGAGTCCCTTTAGATGGCTCTTTTATCGTCACCCCCATCTTGGACCACCCCGCGCTGCCACCCGCCCGACGTATCCTCGCCCTCGCGGTCTGGATACCGGGGCGCGATCCCGCGGACACCGCCGATGCGGTCCGCGCGGGGCATCCGCGAGCAAAGCCGCGCCGTATCCGCGGGGTCACGGCCCAGGGGCCCGGCCTGCGAGGCCGCGGCTGCGTAGGTTTGTTCGCCCGCAGTCTCCGGCAGGCCTCGTCGGCTCTCTCCCTCTCGGAGGTTGCCCGGCCTCAGGAGGCTCTCCTGCTGCTAGAGGCCTCCTAGATGGGGTCGAAGCAGATGGGGTCGGAGGATCGCGCCGCATGGCCGATGCATCGGCAATGAATCGGCGATGCATCGGCGATGCACCAGCGAGGCATCGTCGACGTCGGCGATGCATCGGCGACGTCGACGTGAAGAGAAGTCGGGCTCCGCGTCTAGCCGCATCGCCGATGCATCGGCGATGCGGCGCGATCCGCCGACCCCGTCTACTCCGACCCCATCTGGGAGGCCTAGAGCTGCTGCGTCTCACCGAGTGCGCTCCGGGCGTGCCCATAACTTCCCGATCGGCCACCGCAGACTGGAGTCATGACCCGGAAACAGGATCTCCGGCGATGCGATGTGCTCAATCCCGAAGCCTTTCCTTGATCTCGTCCTTTGGGGCCCGTTGCTGGGTGCTGGTGTCCAAAGTGAAAAACTAGCCCCAGGGAAGGGATCTGGCCTTGCAGGGACCCCGTCTTGGAAAAAACATGTCGGCGGGTGTCAGGGTAGGTGGTCGCCACGGCAGTGGCCGCCAGTCGCTTCCGCCATCGCAGGTCGCCGTCGTCGCGGTCCGTCGCGGGTCGCCGTCGTCGCTGTCTGTCGCCGTTCCGGGTCGGCGATCGCCGATTTCGTCCCCGCGGTTTGCCGCCCGCCGTCGAGGTTCGAGCGTCGGTACTCGAGGATGTTTGGAATTATTTGTTCACTGTTTCGGGTCCCATCTTGGATCTCCGCGGACAAGGGGCGGCGGCGGCGGCGACGACGACGACGACGGGGGCGACGGCGGCGGCGACAGCGACGACGACGACGACGACGAAGCCTCGGCGCCCCAGCTCGTCGGCGGGTCCGCCATGGGGGGGAGGACCGCTCGGGCCGCAGGAGCAGCGGACGGCGAGGAAGGGGAATCGTTGCCAGGCCTTGATTGGCATTGCTTGCGTTGCTTGGCACTGCTTGGCATTGCTTGGCCAGGTATACATACATGTATAGATATGTGTATGTAAATATGTTTTGAACTTGATTGTCGTAGCTTGGTATACCTTGTCCTTGCTTGGCGTAGCTTGGCATTGCTCGGCGTTGCTTGGTATTGCTTGCCATTGCTTCGCGCTGCTTGGCATTGCCTGGATCGCTTGGCATTGCTTGCCGTTTCTTTGCCTTGCGCAGCCGGGCAACTGGGCAGGCCCGGGCAACCCCAGGCAACCCCGAGGAACGTCGCGGGCTACCGGGCAACGGGGCAACCCAAGGATCTCCGACGACCGCCTCCCTCTGACCAGCTGGGCCCACCGGCTGATCTACAAACAGATATGATCACCCAGTAGGCGAAGCCTTATTTGGGTGCTTGCCTGGGCGGAGACGCCGGCGTGACAAACATTGGGCGCCCAGGTCTCATGGGAGGTCCAAGGCCCCCTTTCGCCGTGTCCGTTTTTCATGCCATGGACACCCCTGGGAGTTCTGGATCCCCTCCAGGGGGCCGACCAGCGTTTCCTCCCGAGCCGTCTTTTGATGGCCCCGAGGCCCAGCCAGAACCCCGCGAGGCAGAGAAGCACAAGCCCCCCGTCGTCACTTCAAGACGCGACGACCCCGAGGCAGGCGGCGCCTCGGCGTTCGTGAGACAACGGCCCCCGACGTCTCGACCACTGCCTCTGGACCAGCTCTTCCTTCCGACCAGTTGTTGGACGGTCCGAAAACAACAAAAAATGACTAACCGAAAAGGACCCCCCTAACCCTCTGGGAAGCGCCCAAAGTTAGGAGGGCCCAAAAACACACTAGGGCTAGGGGGGGGTCTTTTATGCAGATGTATCGGACCAGACCGCTCAGATTGAGTGTCTCTCATGCGAAGACGGGGACCCAAGCGAGGCCACGTCTGCGTCGTGCCAGTAGGGTGAGGGGCTCCTTGGCTCTCGATGGCACGACTCCCGCGCCAATTGCTGACACGCCAGCTGCCCGAGTCCGAGCTGGCCGCGCTGCGCGAGGCGGCGGAAGCCCGCGCCCGAAGGGGCGGGCAGCGCGCGCGCGCGCGCGGCGCACGCCGCGCGACCGCCGAGCTGGCCGCGCCGCCGCGGTGCAGCACGTGCGTGGGGCCTGGCGTGACCACGCTCATGCCCGCCACGCGCTGGAGGTACCCTGCGGGCAAGATCGAGCGCGGCGTAACCGACCCCTGGCAAACTATCCCCGTCCGTCACGTCATCCGCGTCTTGGGGCGAGGCGCGGGGGACGTCAGGGAAGGGGATGGTTTGCAAGGGGCCGGTTGGGCCGCCCCTGAGAAGACGAGCCCAGACCTCCAGTCGCCCCAGACATCGGGCGCCTCGATGTGCTAATCGGGACGGAGGTGCTTCCCGGTTTTTAGCCTGTCGGGGCCCTTTCTGGGCCTCGGGGCCGTCAGCAAACTACTCGGGACGAGACAAGCGGGCCCAGGGCAGCGGTCTGGAGGTCGGGGGCCCGTGTCTGGTAGCTGGGACGTCCAGGTTTGTGATAACCGAACCGGGAAGAGATGCCGATGCCGCTGCCCTTCCCTCGCCGCCAAGGCTGGACTCGCCCCGAAACCCTGGTCAGAGCGCACCCTCAGAGAGGTCCGTGAAGTAGCGGCAGGTTCGTGTCGTGTCGACCCCGGCGTTGGATTTTGACACCGCGCTGGATCGTTCAACCTTGAACGATCGGCCATTTCCGCAACGTCCAATCGTTCAACATCGATCGATTCTGGGCCGCCGTCGGCGGTTCAACGTTGAACGTCGGCGGCGGGGTCGCCGCCGGTCGACACGACGCGAACCTACCGTAGCGGCATGCCTGGGCACCTCGGTGCCCCTGAGAAGCCATCAGGGCGGGAAGGCTGTTGCCAACCTGGCTGCCCTCGCCGGGCCCCTGGGCCGTCAACAGAGCCACTCGGGATGGAACAGCCAGGTCAAACAAGCGGTCCGGACCTCCAGGGGGCTCGACGCCGGTAGCCTGGGAGACACCGAGAGATCTGAAGCATTACGCATTTCTTTCAATGAGGTGTCCCCGAAAGTTCCGACCCGTTCCCCAGAGCTGCCGGTTTCGTCCTAGGGCCAGTCCCCGGACCCGGCGGGGGCCCCAGGAGGCAGAAAATAGCGAAAGTTCCTCGAGGCGGAGATCCCCGCATGTGCATCTCAGATCCTGGCACTTCCGTCTATAAGTAGGATCTGGACACGAACTGTCAAGTGTAACACCCCTAGCGGCTCCCCCTTGGGGTGCACACGATCTTTGCCCACTACATCGCGGTGATCATGGTCCTGAACGCAGAGGAGTCGGGGGTGCTCAAACCAGCGAACCAATCGAGGCATCCCTACAATCAGATTGCGACAGCAGCCCCCGTTGGTGGCTCCGCCTTGCGGTGCCCAAATATAGGGCGACGATATCTATACATATCCACTGCTCCCGGCCAGGCCAATCCTGGGCCCAAGAGCTGTGTATACGCCCTCCTGGCTTGGCCAGGGAGGCATATACACCGCTCCTGGGCCCAGGATGGGCCTGGCCAGGAGCAGTGGATATGCATAGATCTCGTCGCCCTAAAATACCGCGACTGCTTTGTCGAATTGATCACGAGGCTCGTCACAAAGAGAAGCCTTGGGAACCTAGCGATCGAACAGCTCGGGACCTCCCCACCAGCCACACACTCTGGGCGCGGTCGGGCAAGTGTCCCCCTCCCCGGCGGCTCCCCCTTGGAGTGCCCAAGTGCCACGGCGGTGATCATGGTTCTCTCTCTCTCTCTCTCTCTCTCGAGAGAGAGAGAGGGGCTTGATCCACCAACCGAGCCACCCCCCCGAGACGTCCAACAATCTGGGGGTGAAAGAGCACGTGCCTCCCTCTTTGGCGGCTCCCCCGTGGGATGCCAAGATGCCACGCCCGCCATGCCGCTGAGACCCTGGGGCTCTCAAGAAGCAGGGGTCTGAACAACCAAACTGGCAAACCGCACGAGGCAGTCCCACAATCTGGGCGCGCGAACGGGCACCCCTGGCGGGGTGAATGGATACCAAGTCTGCTATGTCACGATGGACATGCGGGTCTCAAAAGAAAAGGGGCTTGAGCCAGCAAACAAGCAAACCGCCTGATGCACAGTCACGATATGAGCGCGAACGGGCAATGTCCTACCCCTTGGCGTCTCCTCCTTGGGAAGCGATGGCCAAGTGCCACATGTTCGACATCGCGGCGAACATGCGACGTTGAAAACAAAGTAGTCTGATCAACCAGACAAGCGGGCAAACCGCCTGAGACATTCCCGGAATCCGGGTGCGAACTGGCAACCTGTCCTACCCCCTGACAGTTCCTCCTTTGGGTGCCCAAAATGCCACGCCTGCGACATCGCGATGGGATGAGCATGGGGCTCCGGAAAGACAGGCCGGATCAACCGAACAAGCAAGCCGCCTGAGACATCACCGCAATTTGGGCGCGAACGGGGAAATCCTCGACCCCCTGTCGACTCCTCCCCTGGGTGCTCAAATGCCACGCCTGCTACATAGCGATGAACGTAGGGCGATGAAAAGAGAGCAGTCTGATCAACAAAACAGGCAAGATGCCTGAAGCATCCTCCCAATGTGAGCGCGAATGGGCAAACATCCTACTCCTGGCGGCTCCTCCTTGGAGCGCTCGAATGCCACGCCAACGACATCGCGAAGAGCATGGGGCTCTGAAACGAAAGAAGTCCCATCAACCGAACAGGCAAACCGCCTGAGACATCCACGCAGACTGGGTGCGAACGGGCCAACGTCCTACCCGCGGCAAATCCTCCTTGCAATGCCAGAGTGATACACCAGCGACATCGCGACGAGCATGGGGCTCTGAAAAGAGAGAAGCCTGATCAACCCAACAGGCGAACCGCCTGAGACATTCCCATCATCTGGGCGCGAACAGGTAAATGTCCTAACCGTTGGCGGCTCGTCCTTGGGGTGCTCAAGTGCCACGATTGCTGCATCGTGATTGGCATGTAGCAAATGTGTCTGAGCGAGGGTGAGTCTGAGTATCAGCGAATCTGAGTGTGAGCGTTTCTGAATAGGAGTGTGCCTGAGTGTCAGTGGGTCGGAGTGTGAGTGCACCTGGGTGTGAGTGAGTCTGAGTATGAGTGACCTGAGTGTGAGTGACCTGGGTGTGAGTAATTATCTGTGTGTGTCTGGACACGGGCGGCCTGAGCGGGGTGTGATAGAAAGAGAGAGAGAGAGGGAGAGAAAGAGAGAGAGAGACAGAGAAAGAGTGGGCATGCGGGAGTTAGGAAGTGGATGCTCCCCAGGAGCAAAGGAACACAAGACTTCTACTATAGGGAGAAGACCCTCATACTCAAGTTTTTTTCGGGGAAAGCCGTATTGACCTCTTCATTGCGTCGGATCGCTGGGGGGGGGGGACACATCGCTCCACAGCGTTCCAGGACACTCTCAGAACGTTCCGCGGGACGCTCTCTACGAGCGGGGCGGCTTATTGTGCTGGCCTGGCACATCGAAAGCACAATGATAGACAGATGATTGATCAGGATTCGTGCCACAGTCGCGCGTCTGTTCATGTCCATGTCCATCTTGATCGTCCTATACTCTGCGGACCTGCAAGCTTTGACCACGCCTCGCTCTGAACCACTCTCTGTGCTCAATGGAGCTTTTAATCGAACTTGCAATCGTATCATCGCTACCGCGTCGCCAGAAGTAACGCCCTCATTAAACACGCACGCGAACCTACCACAACACATGATATTACTTACCATTTCACGTTGCACGGAGATAAAGGTTGCCAGTGGCATCGCCGCGCCGCGCCCTCCACAACAAACATAAGCACCACCATCACTCCCGTCTATCATCAGAGCGACGATCTTCACCCTCCCTTCCGCCAGGTGAGGGTGCGGGGTCAGAACACGACTCGGGGAAGAGGGAGAGAATTGAGAGGACCCAGGCGCGATGAGAAGGATGAGGAGAAGGAAAGAAGGGAGGAGGGAGACAGGAGAGGTGTTGAGGAAAAAGCGCAAGGTGCGCTCGCGCTGTGCCTGACATCCTGCCCCTCCCACCCATCCCTTCCCGTTGCGCTGATGTCTCTCAATCCGCCGACGGGTGCCACAGCAGACTTGGACCCCATCGTGCCGTGCGCAGTCAACAAGGAAGAGTTGTGTAGTTACACTGGAGGCAGAGGATGGACAGGAGGAAGAGGATGAGGATCAGGAAGGAGAGAGAGCACGAGGATGAACAGCAGCAGCATGAGCAGGAGAACGGAGCGGTAGGAACACGAGGACCAGTGGAAGGTGGAAGGGCGCGGGGCGACAACGACGATAAAGGAATCGGGTGCAAAATTCTGGCCCGCGCTGAGGCGAGAACGCAGGTGTGAACGAATGGGAAGAGAGGGGAAGGGAGGCAGCAGAAACGAGGGGGTGGGGATGGGAAGCGGAAGGGAGGGGTGTGAGGGCCCCCCCCCCCGGCAGAGCCCCGGCTCCTACGGAGGTGACGTCCATGGCTCGCCTCGTCGCGCCCTGCAGCCTCTGCGCCGAGAGGGCGGAGGGTTCTGGTGAAGGGCTGGGGATCGAGGATCGTGTGTTTCGGACGCGTCGGGCCCGTAGTGAGCCCTGGAAAAGGCAGGGCCGTCTTGAGTTTTGAACACCGCGTTCAGACAACTGTCTCACAATCACGAAAAGAGCTTCCGAAAACTGTTCGCCAAAACGGTAGCAGAAAGGGTTCACCGAAACGGCATGGGAATTCTGGGGATCCGAAGAACGTTCAGAAACAATTCGAAAACGGTTCAGATCCGGAAGAGAACTGCGATCTGGACCATCCCCCATCAAGGCAAACGGAACTGAGAAGCCAAAAACTGCGGCGGAAACGTCAAACATGTTGCGCCCGATACTTGTTTTGAGGTGTGCTACAAACCTGCGCCAGGACATGTAAAAAACAAGTAAAACGGCACAAACAAAAAACTGGCCTGACGTTTCCAGGGCCCACTAAGGTCAGGTCCGTCTTCCAGGCAGTGCCACATGAGGGCTCCACTATGGAGGTCGCCACTTCCTCTGGGAAGCGCCATTTCCTCAGGGAAGTCCCCAGAACATTCCAGAGCCCCCGAAGCCCCCAAAATCGATCCGTAACGTCCAAAATCTGTCGAGCCTCGATCCTGGAACCTCGATCCTCAGGAGAAACTGGTGACCCCTCTGGTGGTGACCCCCTTGGCGCGCTGCCCGAGTCTTGGCCCTTCCCAGGGCTCCAGAAGCCTCCGCGGATCTCCGAGAGTCCACCGGGGACATCCCAGGGGGTACCTGGGGGCCAGCACGAGGACGAGGGAGAAGGCGGAGGGGAAGCGGAGTGAGGATCAAAAATGATGGCGGAGGGTGGAGCACCGAGGGAGGGACGAGGTGAATGATGGAGGAGGGATGCGAGGTGAGCAGAGGGACGATGCAGCATTGGGGGACGTCGTGGGCGTGTGGCCCACTCCAGAGGTCCGGGATCCGAGACAGCGTTGACGTCCCTCCATTGTTTCCGACAGTGCAACGCTAGGAGGGAACGAACTCAGGGGGGGAACCGTGGACCTGGAATCGGCGATACATCGCCGACAGATCAGCGATAGGGGCCCGGGAGCGAATCCGTACGTTCCTGGGCAGGGCGGGCTTTCGGGCCCCTATCGGCGGTCAATGGGCGATTGGAGGTCGATGCATCCACCCCCGGAGCCTGGCCCCCGTCCCCGATTCTTGTGCCACGACTCGGGGCTGTTCGGGGCAATCTAGGCCCCCCCTGGAACGCCAATCCGTTCCAGCACCCCGAGGCTTGGAAACCGACGAGGGACAACTAAAACGCCCGAAAACCTGAAAACGAGTCCTGGTTACCGGCAGAACGATTTGTTCATCCCGAGCCGTTTTCTGACAGTCCTGGGGCCCGTGGAGGGCCCCGACAGCCTGAAAACAGCGAAAACCTCAGTACGCGCTGCCGTTGCCCTGAGGACCCGCTTCCCACATGGCGACAACCACAAACCTGGAGCCTTGCCCCCCCGCCCCCCCACAAAAAAAAGAAAAACCTCAGTACCCGTTGCCCTCAGGACCCGCTTCCCATCTGGCGACAACCACAAACCTCGAACTTTGCCCCCCCGCCCCCCCTCCCCCTCCCCCTCCGCACCCCCTTCCCCTCCCCAACCTCGGGACCCGTTGCCCTCAGGACCACCCGCTTCCCCCATGGCGACAACCACAAACCTCGAACCTTGCCCCCCCTCACCCCCTTCCCCAACCTCGGGACCCGTTGCCCTCAAGACCCGCTTCCCCACCGGCGACAACTACAAACCTTGAAGCTTCCACCCTCCCCGAACTTCCCCAACCTCGGGAACCGTTGCCCTCAGGACCCACCCGCTTCCCCCGTGGCGACAACCACAAACCTCGAACCCTTGCCCTCCCCCCCATCCCCACCCCTTCCTTCGAGAGGCCTCTGGGCAAGAGGTCCTCCTCCTCCTCCTCATCATCCTCCTCCTTCTTCTTCTTTTTCTTCTCCTCCTCCTCCTCCTCCTCCTCCTCCTCCTCCTCTTCCTCCTATCACGCGGGGTAGGGGTCTCCTCTCCAAGGGCATCGGCAGCGCCTCGGCGATGCACCGAAGTTGTCCGCGTGGAGCGAGCCGCGCTCTGCATCGAGCCGCATCGCCGATGGGTCGGGGATGCGGCGCGACCCTCCGACCCGACCCCACCTACTCGGACCCACTGTGTGCGCCACGCGTCCGGGTCCCTGGTGCGCGCCACGCGGTAGACGAGGGACCAGGAAGGAGGAGGAGGAGGAGGAGGAGGAGGAGGACCAGGAGGACCAGGAGGAGGAGGAGGAGGAGGAGGAGGAGGAGGAGGAGGAGGAGGAGGAGAAAGGCTCGGGCCACCGCGAGACGCCGCCTTGGATCCGAGGCTGAGCACGGACGAGAGCACTGGACCCCCGCCCGAATCCCTCCTGTGGGTTGGGCGTGGCTTAATGGGGGGGTCACAAATGGGGGGGTCAGAAAAGGTCCCCTTTCGTGCCCCTTTCGGGCCCCTCCAGAGCCCCAGGGGGCTCGTTTAGGTACCGTTTGGGTACCTTTTCGGACCATCCTCGCCACCCCCCCATTTATGACGCCCCCATTACGCGGCGCCCAAGTGGGCTCGCCCGTGAACGGGCACGTCCGGACGCACACTTGTTTTTCCTGTATTCATCGCGCTACCGGAGTGCAGGCTGCAGGAAGGAACACAGGGCTTCTCTGGCCACGGCGAGCCTCGGCCACGAAGACGTTCAGGATCAAAGAGGCGGTCCGAAAACCGCAGCCCCTCCTGAACCCAATGTGGTCCTTCTTTCAACGTCTGCACCCGCGGCCGAATCCAGACCGCGGAACGAAGCATCGGGCTGCGCTTGCTCCGAAAGGGTATCCCTGTGATGACTCTGCAGCCGCCAAAGCACGAAACACACACAGGCGGGTCGACACCACGTCTGGACAAACACACACACACACATACGGCACGCGCATACCTTTTGGCGTTGCGGCCACACGCACGTCGGAGCGGGAGGACGCGCGCGGCCAGACACACGCACGCACGCGTGCATCATCCGTCCCCGCGCCCGTGCCGCGGCTGGTGCACAGCCAGGGCCATCTGTGTCTTACGGGGCCTCGGCCATCCATCGCAGCACGAGGCAGCCGCAGCAGCATCGGGGGACCCGGTGTTGCCAGCAATGGTCCTGGCTCAAGGTGTCCCCAGCTCTGTGCACCATTATGGAGGCCCTGAGGCCCTCTGAGCTTCGTGCGGGTTGCTCTGGAAGCCATCTGGGCCATCCCCGGGACATCCTGAGGACACCATGGGCCAGGGGCACCCGTGGCAGCACCCGCGGGAGGGAGAGAGAGGGCGAATACCCAGAGCAGGAGCGGAAGCAGGCGCAACTCCTCACCTGTGTTTTATTATTCCACAACGAGATGGTGTCTAGAGCTGACTCTAAAATGATCTGGCCTGGAGCCGAGGGCTACGACAGTGTCGGCCGTGGCACAGGGACAAGCCACCCGCCTATCGAACCAACTGCCTGGCCCACTGAAGCGATGTGCACCGCCCGAGCTGATTGTGCTTGGCGTGATTCATGTGGACGCCAAGCTCGCGCGGCGCGCAGGATAGCGCTCAAAAGCCTCCAGTCGGGGAGACGTAAGACTGGGGTTCGGGGGGGCTCGGGTTGGCTTGACGAGGTCCTCAGAAGTTTGACGCGAGTGGCCGCTGCAAAAATTCCCAAACAAAGAACTCGACCGCCGAAGTTCAAGACAGGCCCGTCGAGAGACGCCGGCGAGCCCGAGTTCCAGCGAACTCGAGTCTTACGTTTCCCCGACCAGGAAGAGACAGGATCGGCAGAGCCGTCAGCCCTGCTTCCTCGAAAACTTGCCGCCGCACACCGTCGGCTGCCACCTGGCCGTCAGGCCATGGCGGGCGCCTTGGCGGCGCGGATGCCCTCGATGGCCTCCGCGTAGTCGGGGGCGTTGAACACAGCGGAGCCGGCCACGATGGCGTTGCAGCCCGCCTCCACGACCTTGTAGGCGTTCGCGGGGCCGACGCCGCCGTCGATCTCGATCCACGGGTCCACGCCCTTCGCCTTGCAGAGGGCCTTCAGCTCCTTGATCTTGTCGACCTGGCTCTCGATGAAGCTCTGGCCGCCGAAGCCGGGGTTGACGGACATGATCAGGACGAGGTCGACCTCCTCCAGGACGTACTCAATGGCCGACAGAGGCGTGCCAGGGTTGAGGACGACCCCAGCAGCGCAGCCCAGGTTCTTGATGCTCTGGACGGTCCTGTGCAGGTGGATCGTCGACGCGGCCTCGCAGTGGACGGAGATGATGTCGGCCCCCGCCTTCGCGAAGTCCTCGATGCGGCTCTCGGGCTCCACGATCATGAGGTGGCAGTCCATCACGGCGTCGGGGTACTTCTTGCGCAGTGCATCCACGACCAGCGGCCCGATGGTGATGTTGGGCACGAAACGGCCGTCCTGGAGCAGAAAATCCACTCTCAAAATGCCCCCCCCCCGACACTCGAAGCCGTTAAGTAAACGCACTCAAAGAAGGAATCGAGCAGGGCAGGGCTGTTGAGTAACCGCCCAGGGCCGTTTCGCAAACGCCATTTATCGGGTCTGGTTGGCTTTCCCCCCATTGACGTCCATAGCGTCGATGTGGACCCAGTCCGCGCCGGCCTTGAGCGCGTCCCCGACCTCCTCCCCCAGGCGCGAGAAGTCGGCCGAGAGGATGGAAGGCGAGATCTTCACCGTCTTCTTCCCGGAGCGCAGCGCCGCCACGCGGGGGTTCTCCGCCTGCCGGGCGCTGCCAGAGAAGCGGCCCCGGCCCCACGTGCACGCCAGTCAGAAGAAGCAGGCAGAAACATGCAGTAGGAAGCGGACAGAGTAGATGGGCTTCGGGCCCGCGCACAGAATCACAGACGGCAACCGAACCAGATCGATCCTTGAGGTAGGAAGGCGCTTGCAGTGCATTGGGCCCTGGGAGCCCAGGAATACCTACCTTCAAACGACCGATGGGTAAGTCCCCCCCGAGCTCGGGCCCGCCGTGGGCCTCGTGGGGGGTGCCCAGTGGGCCACCTGGGCCTCCCCGGAAGGCCTCGGCCCGGGGTAGAATCACCTTCGGCAAGGGACCACGTCCGGAGCCCGCGTTCGTCAGAGTGAGGGGGCCGAACGGTCAATTACTGTCCCTGGGTGCGGGGCTGGAGTGGGATTCCGCGATGCGGTGTCTTGTTGTCGTTGGTATTGTTGTTGTGGTTGTGGTTGTTGTTGATGTTGTTGAATATTATTACTTCTAAAGAAATATTATTGTTGAGACCCCTGGTGCGCGACCCCCCTCCAAAACCTAGGCCGCAGCCTCATTTCCTTCATTTTCTAGCGAAAGCTTCAGAAAAGTGGATTGTGTCCGGATCCGGTTGTTTTGTTGTAATCCGTTTTCCCTTGCAAAAAACACTATAAAATGAAAATTCTTGTTCTTAATTGATCAAATTGCAAGAATCCCTTGCAAAAAATAAGGTAAAGTGGACATTCGCGCGCGCAAGACGAAATCCTTCCAAAACCTTAGTGTTTCGTAGCGATTTTAACATAAAAACATCAAAAACCCAATGGTTTTTCAACAAAAAAATGTCAAAATCTCATCCCGCGCGCTCTTGCGGATTCGTAGGAAAACCAACACTTTTTAAACATTTCTGTCAAACGGGCTTTTGCGAGCAACTTTTTCGAACTTCTGCGACAACGGTTGCGCACCTGCCAGGGCCATCATCCCTGTCAAATAATACCATGCGGGACACATTCGTTTTTTGCGCGCGCACGCCGAAATCTCTGGGTCTCTCTCTCTGTCTCTCTGTATTATGTATTGTATGGCACAATTGCACCATGCTGGGCACATGCGCGCCCCGAATAAGTGACCAAGTTCTGTGGGTGTGTACCCCACGCCAGTGTAGTAGCCACGGTCGTCCGCACGCCACGAAGTGAAGTGTCCCAACGTCATAGGGCGGGAAGCTGGGTTTGGGTGGTCGCGAAGAGTCGTTTGGATATTTGGTAGAGCTTGTAATGCCCCCCCACGAAGTGGGGGTATTGCCTGGTGTCGTATGAAAACCCTGGCACTGGGGAGAACACCACGCGTTCGGGTAAAATGATTGGTGTTGTTGTTGTTGTTGTTGTTGTTGTTGTTGTTCTTGTTGTTGTTGTGGCTGTTGTTGTTGCTGTGGTTGTTGTTGTTGTTGTTGTTGTTGCTGTTGTCGCTGTTGTTGTTGCTGTGGTTGTTGTTGTCGTCGTTGGTTGGTTATTGTTGTTATTGTTATTGTTGTAGTTGTTGTTGTTGTTGGTGGTGGTGGTGTTGATGTTGTTGTTGATATTGTGGTTGTTTGTATGGGCTTGTTGTTAGTGTTGTTATGGTTGCTGCAGTTGCTGTTGTTGTTGGTGCAGTTGTTGTTGCTGTTGCTGTTGTTGTTGGTGGTGCTGTTGTTGTTGTCGTGTGTTTGTTTGTGTGTTGTTGTTGTTGCTGTTGTGGTTGTTGTTGCTTGTTGCTTTGTTTGTCTGTTTGTGTGTTCGTTCGTATGTGTTTTCGTTTGTTGCTTTCGTTGCTGTTGTTGATGTTGGTGTTGAGGTTGCTGCTGCTGCTGTTAATGCTAATTACTAAACAATCATTATTGTTGGACGTCCCCAGGCGCCCTGGCGCTCTCGCCTCGGCGCCGGCTACATTTTCGTTGAAAACGAGGCTCACTCTCGAGCGGTTGGGGGGGGCGCCAAAACCGCCCCCCCAACAACAACAACAACAACAACAACAACAACAACAACAACAACGATCCCGCTCGAGACTTCCTCCCTTTTACTCAGGGCCGGTGCTCTTGCTCGCCGCCGGAAGCCGCCGTCCCAACAAAACCAGCGCTCCCGCTCGAGACCGTCTCCCGTTTTACCTTGGACTGGCGCGCTACTGTTTCTCTCATCGGCGCCGCCCCCAGCAACAACAACGCTCCCGCTCGAGACTTTCTCTCTTTTTTTCTTTTACTCAAGGCGGTGCTCCTCCTCGCCGCCGAAAACTGCCGACCCGACAAAACCAGCGCTTACGCTCGATACTTCCTCTCGTTTTACGCTGGATTGGCGCCCTTCTCTCTTTTGAATTGGCGCCGTTCCCAGCAAGAACAACGCTTCCGCTCCGGACATCCCCCCTTTTTCCTCAGGACGGTGATGCTTCTCGCCGCCGACAGCCCCCGTCCCGACAAAACCACGGCTCCGGCTCGAGACTTCCCCCCTTCTTGCTCGAGGCGGTGTTCCTCCTCGCCGCCGACAGCCGCCGCCCAAACAAAACCAGCGTTGCCGCTCGAGACTTCGTTTCTTTGTTACCCCTACTCTCTTCAGCATTGGTGCCGCTACCAGCAACAACAGCGGCCCTGCCCGAGATTTCCTCCCTTTCTATTCAGGGCCAGGTCTTTGCCTCGCCGCCGACAGCCCCCACCCCCACCGAGGCAATTCTGTGGCTCGATACTTCCTCGTGCCTTACCCTTGGCTGGGATTCCACTGGCGGTCTCGCATCGGCGCAGCAAGGCGCGGGCATTTGTTTTCGAGGCGGCATATCTTGAAATTCCCCGGAGGAGGTGTTTGCAAGACTTCATTGGGCGGGAGATCTGGGAATGGGAATAACGGGCCCCGCTATAGAACAATAGTCCCCCATGCTCGGGATGGCTATCTTGATGGTCGCATGCTTCGTGTGGAAACATCGCGCATAAGGGTCAACTTATGATTGTTATTGTTGCTGTTGCTGTTGCTGTTGCTGTTGCTGTTGCTGTTGTCGTTATTATTATTGTTGTTGGTGGTGGTGTTTGGCGTCGTCCCCCTTGCGACCCGGCCCGCGACCCACCCGCGACCCACCCCGCGACCCGCCCTCGACCCACCCGCGACCTACTCCCGACCCGCGTCCCGCCCGCGACCCACCCGCGACCCACCCGCGACCCAGCCCGCGACCCACTCGCGACCCACCCGCGACCCACCCGCGACCCACCTGGGACTCACCTGCGACCCACCCCGCGACACACCCACATTGCTTTAACGAAAATCGGCGCCTGCGGCGGGCTCGTCGTGTAATATGTAAAACTTAGGCGCCTGCAGCGGGCTTCTTCAGAGCCTCGCAGACTGCAAACGTCCCCGCCCCCTCACTCTTATCCGCGACTGCGGGGTGCTACGCATTCGCAAGAATGACCGGGAACGGCACCGCCATCCCCCCTCCCACTCCCCCCCCCTCCCTGATCTCGCCACGCTTCGCGCCGGCGCCGTGCTTCGCGCTGGCGCCGTCTCGGGGTGAGCCGTTCTGGGAGCACCCCCAGACGGTGCTGGCGCGAATCGCGACATGACCAGACCCCTCGCCCCCTCGCCCCCCATCCCCGGACACGCCTGCTGACCCAGGGGGAAAAAAACAGTCTCCCAGGGACGCCCGAGCCTTGCACGCCACCGCACGCTGCGCACGCACCGCCGACGGCTTCCCGGCGCGCCGGGCGCGCACGCCCTTCGCGACGAGGGCGGCCGCACCGGCCACTGCCACCGACGCGGCCATGGCGCTGCCGAGCGCCAGCCCCGCGGCGGGGGCGGCGCTGGGCAGCGGCGCCGCGTCCTGGCCCACCGCGGCGATGTTGGCGCGCAGCTGGGGCCCCGCGGGCACAAAGGCGGCGGCGCTGCCGAAGAGGGCGGGCATCACGAGGGCCTTGGGCGCCATGACCTCGTCCGAGGAGGAGCGGTGCACGGTCTCGAGGGGGAACGAGAAGCGGCTGGAGCCAAAACGGCTGCGGAGGGGGACGGGCAGAAACGGGAGGAGCGGCGGCGGGGAGAGGAGGAGGGCGCAGCAATGGGAGGGGCCAACACGGGAACGGCGTGGCGCCCTATGCTTCCGAGGCCCTTCTCCCGACGCTGCAAGCGCGGCACCCCTCCCGAGAGACACACAACCGAGAGGCGGACACACGCGAAAACAGACACGCCAAGACACACACACACACACACACACACACACATACACACAAACACACACACGCACACGCGCAGACACCCACACATGAACACACACACACACACACACACACGAACACATGAATAAACACACGCGCGCGCGCGAAAACGACTGGGCATGCCACCGGGGACAATGAAACAGACTTGAAGAGTGTAACGAAAGTCTAGTGGCCTACAAGTGAGGCGGGACCATTGTGGATGGCCTCCACCATCTCCGGCATCAGCCACGGGGGCGCATGCGCTTTTCAAATAGCAAAAGACAAGTGCCCACATGCAACGTTGGACCTAAACATGCTGGCCGAATGCAAAACCACCTGGTTCAGAACAAGATTTCTGGCAATCCAAAGAGAAATCCTCTGCAATGATGCGGGCCCCGCTCCAAGGACAATGAAGGGAAGGGAACGATACAATACGTTTCACGATTCCCACACCGTGCCCATGTCAAACTTATCCCGAACGTTAAACTTTGTACCACTACTAGCTAGTACAACGCGACACCCGTTGCGGGGCCAATCGTTTCCAGCAGCATCTGATGCTTCCGATCCTAGGTTCAGCATGAGTTCGGTGAGACTGTCTAAAGAGTTCTGAACCAACCACGCAATATCGCGGCAGTCGCTGCAGAGGTCAACTGCGGATCTTGAAGAACATGATGTGGCGCTACCCATGCGGATGCGTGCCTGGGAGAAGAAGCCGCTGGGAACGAAGCTCGATGACGGTCACCATGCCTCCTTTGAAGAGGTACCTTTTTTTCTGGTATCGTCTCTATTCACTCGCACATCCGGGCGCAGCGCCCGCCGCGGGAGCCTGGTGCTGCACCTTGACTGACACGGTCCCCTCAGCAGCTGAGCGATCCGCTTCGCAGCGAGGTGCGCACACCCTTTCTCGTTTCGCGCCCGCTCCCCGTGGCTGGAGAGCCGCGCCATGGCCGCGGTGCTCCAGGCTCGTGTGGCGCTGCAGCGCCTGCGCACTCGAGAGGCCCAGACGGAACGCGCTGCGCGTCCCCCGGACGTCCTGCCGGCCACCGCGGGAAACCTGCGACACCTGGCGCCAGTTAGACGCCGCCTGCGAACACCAGCAAGACCTCAGGGGGGGCCCTCCCAACCCCCGCGGGGCCGAGCGACTCTTTCGGCAGGGAACGCCGACATCCCCGCTTCGGACACGGGCGAAAGGAGGACCGACCAGAAGCGACCAATCATAGAATCGGCGACAAGGATGTAGCCCGCCTGGGATCTTCCTCCCCAGGAACCACGTCTAGGGACGATGAAGATTCCAGTGGGCTGCCTCCCCCCTGGGAGGTCCAGTGCGCCCGCGAGGACCTTGAGGCAGCGCCCTCGCTGCGGCCAGCGTGGGCCCGCTCGAGAGAGACCCTCACAGAACTCTCGAGACCCGCTGCTCGGGGTCGAGGCGACCCAGGACCCGCGCCGCAACCCCACTGCTGGCGACGTGCGCTGAAGGCGACACAACAGGGGTGGACGCACGGGGGCGGCGAAACGCAACGCGCAAGCCCTACGCGCAGGGGAGGCGGACCAACGCAACAGTCTCTTCTAGCTCAGGGCGAGGCCGCCCCCCTCGGACGCACACGACTCCGAGAACTGCACGAGCTGCCGCAATCGCCGCGCTCCGCGGCGCCGCCGAAGCGCGGCAGAAGGCGGCCGCCGCGCGCCATCCCCAGCTGTGGAACAAGGCCGAAACGCCCCCCGCAGCCACGCCCTCGTCGGCCCAACCGCGGCGAAACGTAGGCGTGCCCCATTCCGCGGCTCGCTCGAAGCCCAGCGCCAGCGCCGCCACCCTGGGCCAAGGCGTGCCTGTAGGACGCCGTCGGAAGACCCAGCCTGCCTGACCGCGGCCCTGGAGCGCGCGCGTTCCGCGCAGCCGCCGGGGTCACAGGGCGCAGATGCAACGCCTGGACACGGCCGTTGGCTCTGCGCACGTCTGACGCATACACGCTTGCCGTCGGCAAGCCGCCCTGTGGACAGGACCACCTTGGCGTGGGGCCCACTTGCCTGCAGGGGCATCAGCTCGGAAGCCCACTGTTGCATGATCGCCCAGCAGCTCGTGGACGTGCTGCGCCAGGGACAAGGTCTGCCGCGCCGAGGCCCGGTGGCCACCGCGGCCTTGCTTACGCCAAAAAAGAATATACACAGACGCCCTCCGACGAACTTCGCATGTGCCTTCAGGGAGGGCGGCGGTGTATCAAAGTTGGTGGTTTCCTGTGCTTGTTTTACTCGCCGCCACCCTCCCCTGAGGCCCAGGCACGATCCATTTGAGGGTGTCTGTGTATATTTTTGTATGGCGGATTGCTCGCTCCGCGCGCCAAGCATGACTTGTGCTCCAAGCACCCCAGCGGCACGTGGAGCAGCCCGATCACGGCGCGGACCTGCGTGCAATAGGTTATCCGAGTGGCCCCGTCTTGTCCGGAAAAGCCGGATACCCCGAACACTGGCTCCGCCGAGGATCAGAGGTCAACCCCGAGGTTCCCAGCCACTGACCCCGCAGGCGCACTGGAGAGACATACGTGTATGGTATCGCGCGCGACACTCACGCCTCAAGAGTTCTTGCGTTGACATGAACCCTGACATCTCGGGCCCAATATGGAACGCTCGTTCCTGGAGGGTATTGGGAATGACACCGTGGCGCCCAGGGACGATTAGGAGGCTCAGCGGGCCACCTCACCCACCCCCTCGTCTTCCCCATCGGTGAAGGAGTTAAGGATTCCCCATCCCCCCGCCCCCTGGGTCTGGAGCGGGGGGTGGGACGGAGGCGCTAGAGAGTCTAGTTGCGCTCAAGATGGCTGCAAGGCAGCCTCAGATATCCCACGAGGGGGCTCCAAGGATGGCACACGATGGTCCAAGTTGGACCGTGGAGTCCAACTTGCCTCCAAGAGGCCACGAGTAAGTTCCAAGATGGCCACAAGGGGCCGTAAAGCCGCCCAGGATGCTCAAACTACGTATTTACTTTGCATCGGGCGATCCCCACCAGGGAGCTGGTGCACATGGTTGCGAAGTCTGTCGCACGTGGCATGTATCTGGAGCGCGTTTCCTTATTTTCGGCGATGACGGGCGTCATGGGGGGGGGGGGACGCGTGGTGGGGTATGACGTAACGCCCCCCCCCGCCGTGTGGCTCCGGCACCACAGCCGCGCCCGCGCACGACGACGATGAGCGGCAAGACTCGAGCAACGACGACGACGACGACGACGACGACGACGACGACGACGACGACGCGACCAGCATGTAGGTAGCGATCTGCCCCACAACGCCTGTGTACACCACAATGCTCGCGTGCACCACAGCGCGCGTGCACACCACAGCGCCTGCGTCCTCCGCAACAGCCGTGTGCAACGCAGCGCTTGTGTACACCAGAGTGCTTGCGTGCACCACAGCGCCGGTGTACACCACAGCGAATGTGCACACCGCAGCAACCATGTGCTACACAGCGCCTGTGTACACCACAATGCTTGCGTGCACTGCAGCGCCTTTGCACACCACAGCGTCTGTCTACACCACAGCATCCGCGTGCAACGCAGCGCTGGTGTACGCCACAGCGCCGGCGTGCACAGGACAGGTAGAAGGAGCATGTATGCGAGGACCTACTTAGGACAGCTGGCCGCCACGCCAGGTAAGTGCTGAAAATGGAATGCGACGTTTTTCCCTCCTCCTTCCTCCTCCACCTCCACCTCCTCCTCCTCCTCCTCCTCCTCCTCCTCCTCCTCCTCCCTCACCCTTCCCCCCTGTCGTGCGGTCCGGCACTACAGCGCACGTGCGCATCTCAGCGTGCATCGTAGAATGGTCGATTTAATAAGTCAACTTGGTTCTCGGACGCACAATTTTGCTGGAGCCTCTTGGACGCAGATGGGAAAAGTTAGGATGATACGGGCGGACTCTGGAGGACTCGCGACGACTATGACCGACGAGCGACGAGCGACGAGCGACGAGCGACAACAACGACGACGACGACGGCGACCAAGGCGACGAAGGCGACAACGACGACGACGACGAAAACTGCGGACCAGACTCCTATGCGGATTCCTAGGAGGACACCTATGCGGATCCCGATGCGCACTGCGGCAGCGCCCAGAGCGCACTTAAGGGGGGGAATCGTTACGTCATAGGGGAGGGGGGTGGGGGCCATGACGCCCGTCATGCCCCAAGCAATAAAGAAACACGCACCTGCACGTCTACTGTATGTTGATACATGTGACATGTTTCTAGGAAAGGCGCATGTCTGTCATGGGGCTGCTTACTCAGGTGAAACGTGTGAAGTTCGCTATGCGACTATTCCAATATGCGTGTCGTTGGCGTATGGATATGAAATCTGCGGTTGTCATGATCATGTAAGTGGTTCGAGTTCCAGGTGTATGTGACGAACGCAAGCTCTTCCCACATTTGTCTGGCCGTGACGCCTAGAACTGTTATTTGCCATTTGCGTATTGCATTGGGGTCGCTGTGTGAGTTACTGGTAACCGTGTGGAGTAGTATGTTCCTGCTGTCTGTCATTGGCGTGTGTTCGTGATGTGGGGTATATATGTGTGTGTGTGTGTCTCATGAACCTGTCCCTCTGGCGATGTCTACATGTCTGTGGACGGCGTGACGCCGACCTTGTAGGGCCCGCGAGGCGGGATGACCAAAGACCACGCCTGTCTCTTCGGGTCCGGCGGCCGCGACATGCCAGGTGGGCCAGCCAGGGCGTGACGCCGTGACGCCTCCCTGGAGATCATCTGGGGTTCTTGGGGCCTGGCGGCCGCGGTGTGCTGGGTGGGCGAGGCGCGTCAGGCTCATGAGCCCAATGAGCACATGTGAGGCCTCTGGCCCACGACCCAGGCGCGGCGGCGGGGTGGGCTGAAGGAATTTATACACACGACCGATGCCCCTTGCGCAGTTCGGCGGCGGGCGAGCTCGGCCAGCGACCCCACCGCAAACTCACGGCGGCGGCGGCGGCGGTCCCGAACACG